TGCTATTTTATACAGAAATATATAGAAAGAGGTGCTTAATTATCTACCTGGTGCATCTGTGGCGAGAAATAACTGACGATAGTAGTCCTTATTGGACATCAACTTACATGTCACTGAATAGCAATTTACAATAGCTCTGACACCTACACCTGCCCTAGTTATATTGATAACGTTCGCAAATTGATTTTCGCAGCTGGTGCCGTTTTCTGTGTAAGTTATCATAGTAACTGCCCTCAATTTTTTCGATTATGAAGTTGTAAAATTTGGTGGAACTAGTATTTCTATGGAAGGCCTAGCGCGTCCACACCTTTGTCTAGTGTGTACATTGTAATCCCGTTTTTATTCCGAAATTCCTTTGGTATAACACATTCATTTTGGAAACAAATTGGCTGTTAATAGAGGGACCTGGCGATTTATTTACCGTGGAGTCAGCAGATACCTGTCGTACATTCCACTGACTTAATGTGATATATGAAATATACAGAGGGAACTGTAGACAGTGTTTTGATCGTACAGTTCTGACACAATGTGGATACATACATGTATTTATTGATAGGATGATGATGATGATGATTGTTGTTGTTGATGATGATGATGATTGTTGTTGATGATGATTGATGATCATGATCACTATATACTTATTTAATTTTATTATTGTTATATAAATATTAATAATTATATAAAAATGTAATGATTTTTTATCTAGTCATCCCGAGCACAAAACACAATACATACATCGCATCAGGGATCTTAACGTTATATCGCTGTACCCGTTAATTCAATACATGTACATGGGTAGCGATGAATCGGTTATACTTTTTTATAAATGTACGTCTTAAGGTACGTCAAGCAAGGTAAAACAAGGGATTAAACTAGCATTAGAATATATACAAAATAGCAGCAGCAAATATGTACCCTGATTACATCAGTAAAACAACACTGACCAAAATGATCTGTGAATATTCAAAAAGAGACGGCCCTTTAACGGATCCATCATCTTGTCTAGATATGCTATACATATTGGCGAGAATCGCTAACAGCAACGGCATGTTAAAATTAATTACCAGACAGACAGACAGACAGGTACTGATAAAAACAACATATACAACAATTATATTTATAATATATAACTGAGCCATCCCCTCGGGATTTTGAGAGACGTTATTATATAATATGATATTTAATATAAAGCATAATACACAATGTAATCACTCATACTATCGCGTACTCCTAAAATCTAAAACATACTTGGAGGTTTGGCACAAAATTTTATCATATTTGGGCAAGACGTGAGTGTTTTAAATGTTTCTCCGTCAGGGGCTGTAATAAAATCAGGATAAAACTGACAATATAGCGCCAACATGTCTATTGTTAAACGCATGTAAGGTGGACACTGGAGTGTCACATGCATCTCATCCTCCACAGAATCCGGGCAGTTTAAACAGGTTCGTTCTTCAACCGGTTTGTTGCAGTACCGTCCCGTTTCTATATGGAGGGGTGCTGTTCCACATCCGAACAGCGAGGGAGCTCGCCTGTGGATATACATATTATCCAGCTGGAAATATTTATTACCCGAAGGCGGATATATAGAGTCACAGGGTGAGTTGGTAATAACGCCGATTTGGAGGGCATTTGAACTGTTATATCACGGTGTCACTGTCGCAGGTGTCAGGTCGCTGGTCGCAGATCTTAGACTTCGGGGAAACTCACGTAAAGTCAGGTGAAGATACGTCTCATTGTCACCTAGTTGCCCGGTTCGCCCCTATTATGTTTCTAGTTTTATCAGCGCCATACCCGTGCTCGTGGGTTTCACCAAAGTGGTAAACGTCTAAGACCTGCACCACTTCGTGCTTTCCTCCGACATCAATCTGACACGCCGTGATATAACTGAAGACTGTTAAAATCGGCATTAATCAAACTCACTCACTATTTTGTGTCAGCACTTAAATTAATATAAGAGAAATATAAAACAGTTCGGCACGTCCTTTTCGAGTTTGAAGGACAACTACTGATGATTCGTCCCATATCCGACCTTCACTCCGAGACTATAGTACGTCAGAATATCAGTTGCAAGTACGACACAACAGTCATCTGTTGTGATTCAACGCTTTTATTTATATACCGCCGCCCACATTCTAGATTTCTGTCAGTGTATTGTTTGAGTAAACCGACCCTTCCTGTGCCTGCATTGAACACCAGGATTACCCGTGATATATGCACGAATGCTGATATACCCCTGATGGCGATGTTGGGAAAAGCGTACGCGATAAGGGTGTCTTCACGGTTAGCCCCAATGATGTCCGTACCATGTCTCTGGGCGGCATTCACTCACAGATGAGTCACTCTCGCGTGGTTAGTACAGCATGGCGATGCTCTCTAATGTTTTATAGCTTTGTTGACCTCAAGGAAGCTTTTAACAGCATATAGAGAAAGGGCCTATGTTTATGACTAAAAACATAATTTCTCAATCAAACGCAAACTTATATGATGTTCAAACCAATTCCATCATATGGGTGTGGAACTGACTTTAGAGTGAATGAGTTAGTTGGGTTTAACGCCGCTTTGAACAGTATTCCAATTATATCGCGACGTGTCAGGTCTCAGACATTTACCACTTTGGTGAAACCGACGAGCACAGGTATTGTGCTGACAAACCTAGAAACATGATAGGAACGAAGCGGGATTCGAATCCAATGCCATAGGTTTCTGGCGCGCCTAAGGGACGCAACTCTGCCCAGAGTATTGCGGCCCGATATGATGGTTCACCCGTGCCTCCGACGACTTTAGAGTGAGTGCGTGAGTTGGTTTTACGCCGCATTTAGCTACATTCCAGCAATATCACGGCGCAGAAATGGGCTTCACGCGTTGTACCCATGTCGGGAATCGAACCCCCCCCCCCCCCGACGACTTTACAAGCTTCTCAGTGAGTTTTAAGACGCGGAGCACAGTATAGCTTGTATTAGCAGTCGATCTATCACGCACAGGGTGTACACCCTAAACACCGGTGCTCAAAGAAATCCAATGGTTTCCCCGATGGCTCGGATTTATTTTAAATAAATGCACGTGTCTTCGTGGACATTGATTTTCTCCCTCGTGTGTCTACATGTGTCTACATGTGTCTACGTGTGTCTACGTGTGTCTACATGTGTCTACGTGTGTCTACATGTGTCTACGTGTGTCTACATGTGTCTACGTGTGTCTACGTGTGTCTACATGTGTTGACACGTGTCTACGTGTGTCTACATGTGTCTGCATGTGTCAAAGTGTGTGTACGTGTGTCTACATGTGTTTACATGTGTCTACACATGTCTACGTGTGTCTACATGTGTCTATGTGTGTCTGCATGTGTTTATGTGTTTACATGTGTCTATGTGTTTACATGTGTCTATGTGTTTACATGTGTCTATGTGTGTCTGCATGTGTTTATGTGTTTACATGTGTCTACACGTGTCTACGTACGTCTACTTCTGCGTGTGTCTACGTGCCTACGTTTGTCTACACGTGTCTACATGTGTCTACGTGTATCTACATGTGTCTACACGTGTCTACGTGTGTCTACATGTGTCTGCATGTGTCAAAGTGTGTGTACGTGTGTCTTCATGTGTCAACGTATGTCTACGTGTGTCAACGTGTGTCTGCATGTGCCAACGTGTGTCTACGTATGTCAACATGTGTCTACGTGTGTGAACATGTGTCAACATGTGTCTACGTGTGTGAACATGTGTCTACGTGTGTCAAAATGTGTCTACATGTGTCTACGTATGTCAACATGTGTCTACGTGTGTCTGCATGTGTCTACGTGTGTCAACATATGTCTATGTGTGTCAACATGTGTCTACGTATGTCTGCAAGTGTCAACGTGTGTCTGCATGTGTCTACGTGTATCTACGTGTGTCAACATGTGTCTTCGTGTGTCAACATGTGTCTACGTGTGTCTGCATGTGGCAACGTGTGTCTACGTGTCAACATGTGTCTACGTGTGACTTCAAGTAACTTCGTGTGTCTACGTGTGTCTACATGTGTCTACGTGTGTCTACGTTTGTCTGCATGTGGCAACGTGTGTCTAATGTGTGTATGTGTATCTCATTCCACACTTACCAGCACGCCAGCAACAATCGCAACAGCAGAAATTCCTTGATCGGGGTTAGAATTGGTCTTTAGCAACCCATGCTTGTAAGAGGCTACTATTGAGAAAGTGTGGTCAGGCTCGCTGAATTGGTTGATGCATGCCATTGTATCCCAATTGCGTAGATTGATGCTGGTGATGGCAATCACTGGATTGTCTGATATGGGACTCGATTATCCACACTGTCATTCATAAAACATGTTCATCACAACTCACATCTCACATCACCCAATATTTACAAGCTCCTATGTACGGAGCTTGCTCGTACCCGTTTTAACATTATCTTCCTGAAACAATAACTAACGATTAAAACAAAAAGGCATTGTAAATACTCAGATGATGGCCTGTTTATAAGATAAAGTCGCCTTTTATAAGTAAGTGGGATGTTTTTACAGTTGTTCTTGTGATTAACGAGAAAATTACGAACGCTTTCTAGGCGTCCGAAAACCCCCAAAACGTGGAGTGAGTGAGTATGGTTTTACTCCGCTTTTAGCACTATTCCAGCAATATCACGGCGGGGGACACCGGAAATGGGCTTCACATATTGTACCCACGTCGGTAATCGAACTCGAGTCTTTGAACGTCTTTGACGAGCGAACGCTTCAACCACTAGGCTACCCGACCGCCCCCCAAACACGTCGATATATAATCCACCTTGAAACAATGAATGAAATTCTCGTTTAAAAACCCCACAACCTTAACGCTGATGTTGTAGGTATAATCTAAGAAGGCTGGTAATGGCATAGTTAATGGACTAAGTTTTTAAATTTATTTTATTTCATTTATCGAAAATGCAACATTTAAAAAAATGAAATGTGACTTTCTTGGTAAGTTAAACAAGTGTTCGCGATAACCACTCCTACTCCGGCAAAGTACTAACGATAAGCGCCGATGGCAGCGACCTTTGCTTACAGGCGTAGACCATCTGTGTCACGGTGGAAAGATACTGACTCCGACATCAGTATTTAGTGACACTTTCTACATCCATCATGATGTTTATTTATTATTTTTTCAACTGTTTTTATGTATTTTCTTCCCTGTGGTTAACTGGCAATGCATCCACAAACGACATTGACCCAAGTAAGTAAAACTTCACATATTTTAAGTTTTTATATACCATGGGATTTTACAGGTGTCGCCTTATCAGTTAACACACTAAACATGACACACTGGGGTTTAAAAGAGAGATGCGTCAAACGTATCGATAGTGTTTGAAGCGCACGTACAATCAACGTAACGTTGACGAACATTCTTGACCAACTCGTGTTTTTCCGGGACAAGCCGAATAGCTTCTTGCAGGTTACGGAAAGGGGCGAGTGGTGACAAATGGTTGACGAAAACAGGCGTCGTCATTTTAAAGGGAGATAACTTCATATTCTTTCTTGAAGCTTATTGGTAGGGGCGTTACATTTTGTGATATTGCAATTCGCATTCAGTGTACCAGTGTAATATTGTTGAAAATTTATCAGCAGATGCATCGGTTGCAATACGTGTTGTATGGTCGAGTAGCTAAGTCCGAATGTACAAATGATTGATATATATGTTCAAAAGAGAGAAGAGCCCAGAGCGGGTTTCGAAGAGGACTCAAACCAAGCTATAGTGGCGATGGTCAAATGGTTAAAAATAAATTACCATAACAAAATGGTGATATGATAAACGAAGATGTGACTCTTCTAGATCGAGGCTCTGCCCAAAGACAACATTTTGATTAAACGTCTCACGATTGTTGGGGCGGTCGGGTAGCCTAGTGGTTAAAGCGTTCGCTCGTCATGCCGAAATCCCGGGTTCGATTCCCGACATGGGTACAATGTGTGAAGCCCATTTCTGGTGTCCCCCGCCGTGATATTGCTGTAATAGTGCTAAAAGCGGCGTAAAACCATACTCACTCACTCACTCTCACGATTGTTCCAGACTGCAAAGACCGGCTAGACAACTGCCACCATTACGGAGAGTCAGCCTGCAGGCAGCCATTCGAGGCCTGGGCCAGGCATAACTGTGCTAACTACTGCAATTTCTGTTCAGGTAAATGATGCTTAATAACAATGTCATTAAAAATCAGATCTTTCACTCTGATACGTTTCTGCATACTGATTCTGTTTGTTTGTTGTTTAACGCCGCACTCAGCAATATTCCAGCTATATGACGGCGGTCTGTAAGTAATCGAGTCTGGACCAGACAATCCAGTGACTGACATCATGAGCATCAATCCACGCAATTGGGATCGATGACATGCATCAACCAAGTCTGCAAGCCTGACAACCCGATCCCGTTAGTCGCCTCTTACGACAAGCATGGCTTGCTGAAGACCTATTCTACCCCGGATCTTCACGGGTCGCATACTGATCGGAGAACTCCCATGGAGGAACTGAACCCGCCCTTTTAAATGAAGGCATCTATCAGATGTCAGGTTCCTAAACAAATCGTCCTTATTTCTTTACGCCTCGATTTAAAAAAGTGAGTGAGTATGGTTTTACGCCGCTTTTAGCAATATTCCTGCAATATCACGGCTTCACACATTGTACCCATGTCGGGAATCGAACCCAGGTCTTCGGCGTGACGAAAGAACGCTTTAACCACTAATCTACCCCACCGTCCCTCGATTCAAAAAGAAGAGAGTTAGGGGTAGCCTAGTGGTTAAGGCGTTCGCTCGTCAGGCCAGAGTTCCGGTTTCGATTCCCCACATGGGAACAATGTGCGAAGTCAGTTTTAGTGTTGCCCACCGTGACATTGCTGGAATTCTGTAAAGCGGCGTAGAACCATACTTACTCTCACTTATAAACAAGAGCGAGATTAATTTATTTTGTTAAATTTGTTCAAGATACCTCCACGATGTTCATGTTGAACTCCACTGATTATGAATGTAACACCCCCCTGACTAACCACTGCATCTGTGACAGGCCCGACAACCCCAGTGCCTGAGTGTCGCGACACCGCCGACGACTGCGAGACCTATGTGAGGTCATCCTGTACCAACCCCGAGTTCGCCACGTGGGCGAGAGAGCAGTGTCGCTACTACTGCCGACTGTGCCCGAGTAAGTCGGAGGGCCCACTTAGGAATAAAAATATCAAAACTGGCATATGATCAGTGAGGCGTAATGATACTATATATTCAGCTTAAGCGGTACTCCAAGCATTGTGTGGCTTATGTTCCCATGTGAACGCGATACATTTAACACTCCTCACATTTCACCAAAAGGAAAAGAGAATATTTGAATTTATATTTTTCATTCTACCGGCACTTAACAAAAATAAATTAAGAGTCTCGTTCTATTTTTATTATCATTCAAAATAGACTTTGAGAAAAAGATGATAAAAAACTACGGTCTTACGCTACAAATACTCATGTTTCAGATATAGTCCAATTGTTCTCTTTCAGAGCAGGTCCTTTCGGAAATTGATTCTTTAACTACAACACTGCCACCCGAAAGTGAGTTTCGAAATACACTATGTTGCACAATTTTCAATAAAATAGAAGGTAATTTAAGGTACCGACGTTTACTACAATATCTGAAAAACTATTGGACCTACTCCATTCAAATCGAAAGGTTGCACGGGAATCACGCACGCACGAATACGGTGTCAGCGTTGGGCGTCTCAACGTGCGTGATTCCGGTGCAACCTTTCGAGTTGAGTTGATTGGTTCAACTGTGTCATATGGCCCTGTGACGCAGGGGTAGCATTATGCAGATGGCTGTTACAATGAATGCTCGTTCCACCCGTGACGAACAGGTCTGGTTGTTGATGAAATATAGTGATAGCTAAATAGACAGATTTTTTATTCATGCACCGATTGTCTTTAAATGTAATATCCAGTTATGTATGACTGTTTACTAATCTCATACCAACTTTGACTGGAGTAGGTCCGATAGTTTCTCAGATATTGTAGTAAACGTCTGTACCTTAAATTACCTTCCAGACTATGCATCCCACATAGACCTATGAGGATTCTGTGGCGGAAAGGTCCTACGGCCTCATTCTTGGCGTTAAGTGGGGATCCACTACCATGTGTGGACAAGATGATTATTTATCATCGAACCAAGTGATTGAATCGTTGTTCATTATATCGGCCACTGGTTTGCTTTGACCAGATCTGATCATTGGTGTGCGGCTGTGACATTCTGACCATGACGTAATGGGGCGTAATGGGGCGTAGTGGGCAAGCGGTCAAAAGCGCCATGCTAGCAAGCGCCAGGTGCTGAGATCGTATCCCGCTAGTCACCGGGTTGTTTGGGACCAACAATGTTTACAGGTCCTTACAGTGTTGTCACTACCCCTAGTGTACAGTACATACACCCTGTGCACTTAAAATAACCCACCCATCTCACGGTAGATGACCAGATGGTGGAAACACGAATACAACATACACCCGAAAAACAAGTGTAAACACGTGTGGTGTCACCCTGGGCGAGTGACTTAGTTCAAATGTGCCTCTGTTCACCCAGCACGGAATGGGCACCCGATATGTGAGGTCGATTAAAAAACCTTCTAGCGCCCCTGGGCAGCTTGGGTTGTATACTCCCCAGGGAGTTGAGAATGATAAGTGGAATGCAAAGGGATCCACTGGTCGGGGATCAAATAAAACCGCATTTGAGCAGATACTAGTTCCTGGATACTTGCGGTACATATAAATGTATAGTTTAAATTTTAAAATTAAAAACAACATTCACTCAATAAGTATTGTAACCCGTAGGCTCAGCAGTGGATTTAAGGCGGTAGTGTATATCAATACATTACGTTTTGTTGAATAATAGATACATGTTTTCTTGTAGAAAACACACACACCACCACCACCACACCCCACTACCATCACCAGTGTGTTGACAAGGTGAAGTGTTCCTGTTCCCTCTTCGACCCCGACCACATCCCCCCCCCCCCCCCCCCCCCCACCACACTCATAACCCATCCCACCCCCACCCCACCACCATCACCACCAACGTTAAGTTGTACCTTGTGTTTGTAGAGTGCCTGGACAAGGTAAAGTGTTCCCTCTTCGGCAACTCCACGTGTGACGGGGAGTACCTCCACTGGGCCAAAACCAACTGCCCTGCCTACTGCAATTTCTGCACGCGTACGTACAAAAGTGCACCCTCTTGAGCAGTTGTAGTTGTAGTTGTCGTCGTGCAAACAAAAGATCAAATGAGAGCCTATCATTTCAGCTGATTGTATATATCAAGAGGATATGAGTATGTATTTTTTAAGCCATTGTGCTTTACCATAGACAAGTGATTCAAACCGGAATTAAGCAATTAGGTTACGTAATGGGCAATAGACAATTAGTTGAGAGCAATGTTGAGCATGTTGTTTTTATGATACTAAATCTTACATGCGGGATTTGATTGTATTTTGTCAGTACATACTTTCAGTATTCCATTCACATATTGGCCACCACTATTTTGCCTTTTTCGATCATTGGAATCTGTTTAGGAGGATAATCGAGGCTGATCGTTATCTGGCATTGACGTTTTACACTTACATACCTGACCGTGTTGGCAGCACCCCCAACTCCGCCGTCCCCCTGCCACGACATCGTCCCCAACTGTATCAACTACCACGGCGATATCTGCACCAACCCGATATATTCCCAGTGGGTCTTGGACAACTGCCGACTGTTCTGCAATCGTTGTTGACACACACGAACACCATGTATTCGGGGATTGTTCCAAATATATCACGATAAAAAGGTTGTGTATGTGCTTGATGGATTATTTATCATGTCTATGCACGAGGCTGGCTGTGTTTGTGTGAATTTGTACCCCGGCTTCTGTTTCCATTGGCTTTATCGCATGCAATGGTATATCGGATTCGAGGTGGCTCAATTAACTTAATTCATCTTTAATATTTCACGGGTATGCATACACAATACGTTCGTCCATCTCTCGTGAAGATCCGGGATGAATTATTCTTCAGCAACCCTTGTCGTAAGAGGCGACTAACGGGATCGGGTGGTCAGGCTTGCTGTCTTGGTTGATGCATGTCATCGTACCCCAGTTGCGTAGATCAATGCCCATGACGTCAATCACCGGATTGTCTGGTCCAGACACGATTATTTACATACCGCCGACAAATAGCTGAAATATTGCTGAGTGCGGCGTTAAACAACAAATAACAAACAAACGAATATATACGACGTCATTGCTGTGCAGTACTGATCATGACTCTTGACTCGCTCAATCAAAAATAAACATCAGCAGATCCGTTAGTGGTTATTTTCATCGCGCAGAACAAACTTACGAGGTGTAGACTTGGAATATTGCTTAAAGCGGCGTAAAACCATACTCACTATAATTCACTGACGCCAAATGAGTGCAACTCTGTGCATGAACTTAGTGCAAACCCTACCCGTAACTGATGGCACTGTGTAGAGCTCGCCCCTTTCCTTTAACTTGCAAGAAGACACCCACCCCCGCCCCCCCCCCCCCCCCCCCCCCCCCACACACACACACACACACCCGTCGATGCACGTCGTGTGCGAAAATCGAAAATCCCGCAGGATTAATTTTTGACTTTACATATGTCTTGCAATATACCCAACACACAGTTAAATGTGTTCAGTGACACTGTATAATACTGTAAGTTCCTATGTGTTTTCAATAGCATCTGGAATATATATGGTATATGGGGGAAATATACGTGAATCATTACGCAACGAGTCGCCAAAATGGCCGCGAAAGGGGCACGAGTCGCTATTCGGCTTGTCCCGTTATAACACGAGTTGTCACAATGCTTAAGTCTTCTTGCAGGTTACGGAAAGGGGCGAGTGGTGACGAATGGGGGACGAGTCTTCTTGCAGGTTACGAAAAGGGGCGAGTGGTGACGAATGAATGCTTAAGGCACATGTTGCACGGGAAATGCGATTTACCGTGTGGGCTGTGTAATCTGGGCGCTGATTGGTCAGAGCAGTCGCTGGTTTCACTTGCGCTGGAACCGAGCCGCGCCTTACCTCGTTGGTTCAAAATGTCGACTGCGGACTGAGTGCAATTCAACCGACCTCATGTTTTCGCGGGTGATGGAGTAACATCGTGTTACCACACCTGGGAAGTACTGACGATGACCTCAATACCCACTTTCCCTTTTGACCTACACTTGATATCTGTATCATCACAAAAAATTTTAATAAAAATATAATTTTAGATTATACAATTGGTAAAAATATGTAATGAAGTATCTTAACCAACGTGTGTTCATGAGTTTTTTTATGCAATCGGAACACACGAATGACTAGAAGGCTTTATTAAAAATTTCTTTTTCGACACATATTATTGGAAACAGACGGTGTCCAATCTATATTTGACAAGTCCAGACAATAGGCTGGGAAAGTGTGTGTGAGTGACATACTTATGTGATAGGTCTGTGACTAATCTGAAAGATAACATTTGTGCACAGATGAGTGTGTAGCGTTACGACTGTGCTGTGTCAAAGGTTAGAGTTCAATCCGTGCTTGTCTTAAGAGGCCGACCGGGTGGACGGACTTGGCGACTTGGTTGATGCATGTCACCGTGTCCTAATGCTCATGATTTCATCCACTGGATTGCCTGGTCCAGACTCTATTATGTACAGACCGTCGTCACATAGCTGGACTAGAACAAACAAGAACAAGAACAAGAAGACGGTCCCACAAATTTCGTAACATGCACGTTGCGACCTCAAGGTATAAGTGATCTGAATATATGTTCACATCGGCATCAGATCTGATTATACGCCAACATCAGCATCAGATCTGATTATACGCCAACACCAGCATCAGATCTGATTATACGCCAACACCAGCATCAGATCTGATTATACGTCAACATCAGCATCAGATCTGATTATACGCCAACATCAGCATCAGATCTGATTATACGCCAACATCAGCATCAGATCTGATTATACGCCAACATCAGCATCAGATCTGATTATACGCCAACACCAGCATCAGATCTGATTATACGTCAACATCAGCATCAGATCTGATTATACGCCAACATCAGCATCAGATCTGATTATACGCCAACATCAGCATCAAATCTGATTATACGTCAACACCAGCATCAGATCTGATTATACGCCAACACCAGCATCAGATCTGATTATACGTCAACATCAGCATCAGATCTGATTATACGCCAACATCAGCATCAGATCTGATTATACGTCAACACCAGCATCAGATCTGATTATACGTCAGCACCAGCATCAGATCTGATTATACGTCAGCGCCAGCATCAGATCTGATTATACGCCAACATCAGCATCAGATCTGAATATACGTCAACACCAGCATCAGATCTGAATATACGCCAACATCAGCATCAGATCTGATTATACGCCAACATCAGCATCAGATCTAAATATATTAACATCAGTATCGATTAAGAAATGCCAGTGGATATGATCAATGTTTTAAAGCGCTTTTAAAAATATTTTAGCACGGCAGGTGAACAAGGGATCGTTTTTCAGATAGCTTCCCAATGTAGTAATCGAACCTCAAGAACCCCCTTCAACCACTGGTTGAAATTTTAAGATATATCAACATGAAAATTATCTTTAGAAACAAATGGACATCATTTTCGGTTGTAACTTTTTACGAAGGAAGGGGTCAAAGTACAACAGCTGTTCTTGTGGTATAAAGGATCACCAGATCCATTTTAGATTTGAGATTGACCAGAGCAACATACTATGCCCTATATTGTCTTATCTTATTAGGGCCGTGATGTAACAGTGTTTAAAATATGTAACGAACGGAACCATTTATTTCAAATATACATTAAAAATATAACTGGAATAATTTTGAGCAACTACTCGAAAAAATGTTTATTATATTTTAGGAGCCTTACCATTTATTTCAAGCATACATTCAAAAAATAACTGGAATAATTTTTGGCAACTACGCGAGAAAATGCTATCACGACAAGTAGGAAACCTAATATTTACACTACTTAGTTTGACATGTGTTAAATAACATAGGAAGATGTTCTTACACAATAAGGCATATGCAAACTTAAACTTTGCACGTATTTAGAAATGTAGGTTACGTTTAAGAATTTTGAAAAAAGTTATCGCATTGCATGCTGGAGGCGACTCTGTACGCCTAATCTGGTTATCTTGGTACATGACGCAGACTCTGGTACTCTGCACAAGAACAAACATGTGGCCGCTGATCGTCTTCGCCTCAGCTGTATGTATCTCCGCACAAGTCTACGACCCAAGTTTGTACTTCTGTTCATGCATTTTCATTTTTGCTTAATCATGTAATAATTAATTTTGAAATAATTGAATAATTGAGATGACGAAATCTATTATGGAAATTAACATATTAGAGAAATATGTATTTGTGAATATCAGTTTGAAATGTAATATTGTTTGTTTGCTGTTTAACGCCGCTCTCAGCAATATTCCAGCTATATGACAGCGGTCTGTAAATAATCAAGTCTGGACCCAGTTCTTGGCACCATGAGCATCGATCCACGCAATTGGGATACGATGACATGCATCAACAAAGTCAGCGAGTCTGACCGCCCGTTCCCGTTAGTCGCCTCTTAAGACAAGCATAGTCGCCTTTTACGGCACGGGTTTCTGAAGACATATTATAACCCGGATCTTCACGGGATTGATATGTAGTAATGTGTATTTGATTAGTGCAGGGCACCAAGAAATCTGAGTAAGACATATACATATACCATCTTCATTCATCAAGGGTATTATGTCCCCATTCGATAACATAAGTGCCCTGGACCAAATCGATGTCATTGCTTGATTTTGGAAGTGAGATTACTATCTCCCTCTCTCTTCCTCTATCTTCCACAGAATTTGTCTCGCACATGATTGTAATTTGTTTGGCTGGCTACTGTCATTGGCGGTGGGTGATGTGAAATGTGAGTTTAACGTCGCGTCCAAGATTATTACACCAACATAAGAACGTAAGTGTTATGTGCACATGCAATGTGGTTTATGAAACATTGGCATGTACATAAGTGTCTAGCTTGGGAACATCCGAAATAGACATGACAAGATGGTGATCTGTATACAGTCATGAAAACTGAGGTGAAATGGTGTTTGACGTCGCGTTCAAGATCATTGCACTTATATAGCGACATGCATGTGTGTGTGTGTGTGTGTGTGTGTGTGTGTGTGTGTGTGTGTGTGTGTGTGTGTGTGTGTGTGTGTGTGTGTGTGTGTGTGTGTGTGGCTTGTTCTAGTCCGGACTAATGCCGATTTTATAGTGCTAGCCCACTGAGAGATCATTATGCCGCAGTTTAACATTAATACCCCACTCAGACACACTATACAGACTCCGAGCCGAGCAGTCCTTGTTTTAGCTCCTCAAAGCCGAGTACCAGGCTGGGTGACAACAAGTACTATCTTGTAACGTCTTTTGGTATTGCCGGGCATCGAACTTCCGACCGCCTGCTCTCCGGGCGCTCCGGACGCTCTACCATTAGACCGTGGAAGGATTACACTGTGGTGTGGTGTTTCGATATGGCACTATAGCACTAAATTAATGTACCACAAGTGAAACATGCCCCCACAATCAGGAGAGAAGTAGTCATCCACATATACATGCACGTTTTTTATACTTCTAATAACGTGTTACATATTCGGATATATTGATGTTTTCCACCTCACGAGTGACCAAGTCGGACGTACTCTGTGTGTCATAGGTTCCTGACACATTTTAAATACTATTTAAAACTATTTTGTCTTTCTATGTATGATGGGTCATTGCGCTGTATATAAAATATATTTTAATACCTCAACATTTTTCAGAATGTTGACCTAAAGAAAGTCTTTCACTTTGATAAAAGTCCGTCAGATATGAATTTGTCGACAAGTTGGCGAATTGACTTTGATGGGCGGTGGGACAGCCTAGTGGTTTAAGCGTTCGCTCGTCACACCGAAACCCCGGGTTCGGCTCCTCACTTGGGTACAACGTTTGAAGACCATTTCTGGTGTCCGTCAGATTATCGTTTTTGCTATAATACTGCAAAAAAAGCGGTGTAATATTATACTCACTCACTGTATTGATCAGTCCTGTTGTTTGATCGACAGGAGGCGATAAATTACGTGTCTAATGGATTATTCTAGACTAAGGTACGCACGCACCTGCATTGTACGATCCTGTCGTGTTTCAGCACCTGTCCTATAAGATCATATCGTGTTTCAGCGTGCCTCGACAAGTTGCCGGACTGTGAGAGGTACGGGCACGACTCCTGCGTTGGGAAGTATGCAGCCTGGGCCAGGGACAACTGCAACAACACTTGCAGATACTGCATAGGTACGTCGTTACAATCAGCACATGTCTAGTCTTTGATAGATGTATCTGTTACATCCGCGGTACCGTCATCCACGGTTTCTTTGTTAAAAAGCCGCTCAAACGTCATCCAATGCGTCTTTCTTAGAAAGCCGATCAAAAGTCGCCCACTGTGTCTTTCTCACGAAGTCGCTCAAACGTCGTACACTTTGTCTTTCTCAAAAAGCCGCTCAAACGTCGTCCACTGTCTTTCCTACAAAGCCACTCAAACGTCGTCCAATTTGTCTTTCTCACGAAGTCGCTCAAACGTCGTACACTGTGTCTTTCTCACAAAGTCGCTCAAACGTCGTCCACTGTGTCTTTCTCACGAAGTCGCTCAAACGTTGTACACTGTGTCTTTCTCAAAAAGCCGCTCAAACGTCGTCCACTGTGTCTTTCCCACGAAGCCGCTCAAACGTCGTTCACTGTGTCTTTCTCACGAAGACACTCAAACGTCGTCCACTGTGTCTTTCTTACAAAGCCGATCAAACGTCTCTTTTAGAAACCCGCTCAAAACAATGTCACCTGTGTCTTTTTTAGAAATAAAAACATCTTCCACTATGTTACCTCGTCCATTGTGTGTCTTTTACGAACCCCCTCAAACATTGTCCAATCTGTTACAGGCCCCACCAAAGCGCCACCCCCGTGTGTTAACACTCTGGCAGACTGCGAGAAGTATGGGACAGCAGCCTGTTCGAATCCCACGTATAAAGATTGGTCGGAAAACCATTGTCGCTATTTCTGTAGAAAGTGTTCATGTAAGTGTATCAACTTTCGACTAATGTCGTTAACTTCCTTTACAGTTCGTCAGACATTCGCATAAGTACATGGCGGCTGGTCAGTGGGGTGGGATGGGGTGGGGTGGGGTGGGGTGGGATGGGGTGGGGTGACATATCCAATAGTTAGTCCTTTAACATCATCATATTTCGGACCGCCTCCGTGGTCTAGTGGTAAAGCGTCCGCCCGGAGAGCGGAAGGTCCGGGGCTAGATCCCCGGCCGCGTCATACCAAAAGACGTTAAAGATGGTACTTGTTGTTACCCTGTCTGGCGCTCGGCATTAAGGGGCTAAACAAGGACTGTTCGGCTCGGAGGCAGTATACTGTGTCTGAGTGGGGTATTCATGTTACACTGCGGCATTGTATCTTAGTGAGCTAGCACTATAAATCGGCATCAGTCCGGACTAGTACAAGCAGCCACACAAATACACACACATGCATGCACGTCGCTATATAAGTGCATTAATCTTGGATGCGACGTTAAACCCCATTTCACCACACCTTATCATATTTCGCCTTATGTGTTGTTTTGTAATATATGTTTCAGCTGATGTGTTGGCCAAATTGGACGCAATAGTTACGACCATGTCACCCGCATGTAAGTACAGTTGCCTCCCCCACGTAAGTATAGTGTCACCCCCTAAAAAGTGTAAGTATAGATATAACTGCATGTGAGTGAGTGAGTGAGTGAGTGAGTTGGGTTTAACGCCGCTTTTAACATTATTCCAGTTATATCACGACGTGTCAGCTTAATGTGGGAGGAAAGCCCCAAGTGATACAGGTCTTAGACGTTTACCACTTCGGTGAAACCAACGAGCACGGGTATTGTATGGTGATCCAACGTATGTATAGTCGTCACCCGTACATACGTATAGTCGTCACCTGTATGTAAGCATAGCCGTCACCAAACGTAAGTATAGTGGTCACTTGCATATAAGTATAGTCATCACCCCACGTAAGTATAGTCGTCACCCAACTTATGTATAGTAGTCACCCAACGTGAGTATAGTCGTCACCCCACGTATGTATAGTCGTCACCCCACGTAAGTATAGTCGTCACGCCACGTATGTATAGTCGTCACCCCAGATATATGTATAGCCATCACCCCACGTAAGTATAGTCGTCACCCCACATATGTATAGTCGTCACCCAACGTATGTATAGTCGTTACCCAACGTAAGTATAGTCGTTACCAAACGTATGTATAGTCGTCACCTGCATATAAATATAGTCGTCACCCTACATATGTATAGTCGTCACCCAACTTATGTATAGTAGTCACCCAACGTGAGTATAGTCGTCACCCCACGTATGTATAGTCGTCACCCCACGTAAGTATAGTCGTCACGCCACGTATGTATAGTCGTCACCCCAGATATATGTATAGCCATCACCCCACGTAAGTATAGTCGTCACCCCACATATGTATAGTCGTCACCCAACGTATGTACAGTTGTCATCGAACGTATGTATAGTCGTCACCTGTATATAAATATAGTCGTCACCCCACATATGTATAGTCGTCACCCAACGTAAGTATAGTCGTCACCCAACGTAAGTATAGTCGTTACCAAACGTATGTATAGTAGCCATCTGCATATAAGTGTAGTCGTCACCCCACATATGTATAGTCGTCACCTGTATATAAATATAGTCGTCACCCAACATATGTATAGTCGTCACCCACCGTAAGTATAGTCGTCACCCAACGTAAGTATAGTCGTTACCAAACGTACGTATAGTCGTCACCTACATATAAATATAGTCGTCACCCCACATATGTATAGTCGTCACCCAACTTATGTATAGTAGTCACCCAACGTGAGTATAGTCGTCACCTGCATGTACGTATAGTCGTCACCCCACATATGTATAGTCGTCACCCAACGTGCGTATAGTCGTCACCCCACGTATGTATAGTCGTCACCCAACGTACGTATAGTCGTCACCCCACGTATGTATAGTCGTCACCTGCATATAAGTATCGTTGTCACCCCACATATGTATAGTCGTCACCTGCATATAAGTATAGACGTCACCCCACATATGTATTGTCGTCACCCCACATATGTATAGTCGTAACCCAACGCATGTATGATCGTCACCCCACGTATGTATAGTCGTCACCTGCATATAAGTATCGTTGTCACCCCACATATGTATAGTCGTCACCTGCATATAAGTATAGTCTTCACCCCACGTATGTATAGTCGTCACCCAACATAAGTGTAGTCGTCACCTAACGTAAGTATAGTCGTGACCCAACGTATGTATAGTCGTCACCTGCATGAAAGTATAGTCGTCACCCACATGTATAGTCGTCACCCAACGTATGTATAGTACTAATCCAACGTAAGTATAGTCGTCACCTGCATGAAAGTATAGTCGTCACCCCACGTATGTATAGTCGTCAGCCAACGTAAGTATACTCGTCACCTGCAAATATGTATAGTCGTCACCTGCACATAAGTATAGTCGTCACCTGCACATAAGTATAGTCGTCACCTGCACATAAGTATAGTCGTCACCCGAATGTAAGTATAGCATTATATGTCACTGAATGTCAGTCACTGTGATATGGTTTATTAGACTTTAACAGTGTGTGTGTGTGTGTGTGTGTGTGTGTGTGTGTGTGTGTGTGTGTGTGTGTGTGTGTGTGTGTGTGTGCTGTGTGTGTGTGTGTGTGTTGGTGTGTATCTCTCTGTGTGTGTTGTACTCAGTATATGTTTGTTTGTTTGTTGAACATCGATCTACACAATTGAGATACCAGTATATGATACATATATCTGATCGTATGTACTCAAAATATGATATATATTTATCTGTTTGTGTGCATTCAGTATATGATGTATACGTTTGTGTGTACTCTGCATATGATATACATCTGTTTGTGTTTTCTCAGTGTGCAAGGACAAGGTCAACTGCCGTGAATACACAAAAACTGCCTGTACAGGACAATACGCGCACTGGGCGAAAGAAAACTGTCCAGTCTTCTGCGGCCTTTGCACGTCTGGTAACATCTATATAAATATTCAATCGATGTTATAAGTAAACCTAGTTGTTACTTTGTAAAGATAGATTATGTATTACTATGTTAAATGGGGTTTAACGGCGCGTTCAAGATTATTGAACTTTCAAGCGACGTGCATGCACGTGTGTGTGGCTTCTTGTACTACCGGTGTAGGAGTCCCAACGTATCTTTGAATCACCCAAGACTGACTAGGGCCTAGGCTGAAATCACTCAAGAGTGACTTTGGCCAAGGTCGGGATCATTCTAGAGTGACTTGGCTGAGATAAATCTAAAGTGTTTGGAGCTTAGGCTGAGATCACTCTAGAGAGACTTGGTCTTAGGCCGAGATCATTCTAGAGTGACTTGGTCATAGGCTGAGATCACTCTAGAGCGACTTGGTCCTAGGCTGAAATCACTCTAGAGAGACTTGGTCCTAGGATGAGATCACTCTAGAGCGACTTGGTCCTAGGCTGAGATCACTCTAGAGTGACTTGGTCCTAGGCTGAGGTCACTCTAGAGTAACTTGGTCCTAGGCTGAGATCACTCTAGAACTACTTGGTCCAAGGCTGAGGTCACGCTAGAGAGACTTGGTCCTAGGCTGAGATCACTCTAGAGTGACTTGGCTGAGATAACTCTAGAGTGTTTGGAGCCTAGGCTGAGATCACTCTTGAGCGACTTGGTCCTAGGCTGAGATCACTCTAGAGTGACTTGGCTGAGATAACTCTAGAGTGTTTGGAGCCTAGGCTGAGGTCACTCTAGAGTGACTTGGTCCTAGGCTGAGATCACTCTAGAGTGACTTGGCTGAGATAACTCTAGAGTGTTTGGAGCCTAGGCTGAGATCACTCTTGAGCGACTTGGTCCAAGGCTGAGGTCACTCTAGAGTAACTTGGCTGAGATAACTCTAGAGTGTTTGGAGCCTAGGCTGGGATCACTCTAGAGTAACTTGGTCCTAGGCTGAGATCACTCTAGAGTGACTTGGTCCTAGGCTGAGATCACTCTAGAGTGACTTGGCTGAGATAACTCTAGAGTGTTTGGAGCCTAGGCTGGGATCACTCTTGAGCGACTTGGTCCTAGGCTGAGATCACTCTAGAGCGACTTGGCCCCAGGCTGAGATCACTCTAGAGTGACTTCGCTGAGATAACTGTAGAGTGTTTGGAGCCTAGGCTGAGATCACTCTTGAGCGACTTGGTCCTAGGCTGAGATCACTCTAGGGTGACTTGGTCCCAGGCTGAGATCACTCTAGGGTGACTTGGTCCTAGGCTGAGATCACTCTAGGGTGACTTGACTGAGATACCATGCCGCATTTAACATGAATACCCCGCTCAGACACGGTATATTGACTCCGAGCCGATCCATCCTTGCTTTTCCACTTAATGCCGAGCGCCAGACAGGGTAACAACAAGTACCATCTTTTAACGTCTTTTGGTATGACGCGGCCGGGGATACCCCACTCAGACAAAATATGCTGACTCCGTGCCGATCAGTCCTTGTACAACGTAAACGTACAACCTTTTAACGTATCTTTAGTACAACGCGGCCCCCGACCTACCGCTCTCCAGGGGGACGTTATATTAACTACCCCACGGGAACGTTGCGTATTGACAGGGGCGTTGGAGTGGCCTGATGGTTAAAACGTTCTCTCAACACACCGAAGTCGGGTTGGATTCAAGGATACATTCATGTGGCTCACATCGCACATCCCTACTCTGCCCTCCTGGCGTTATTAATAACATATGTGCCTCCATTTCAAATATATGTGTGATATTTATTATATATGTGCTTTTATTTATATTATATGCGTGTTTTTTATTATATATGTGATCTTATTTATATTATATGTGTGTTATTTATTATATATGCGCCTTTATTTCAAATATGTGTGTGTTATTTATTATATATGTGATTTTATTTCAAATATATGTGTGTTATTTATTATATATGCGCCTTATTTAACATATACGTGTGTTATTTATTATATATGTGCTTTTATTTATATCATATATGTGTTATTTATTATATATGCGCCGTTATTTAAAATATATGCGTGTTTTATTCATTATATATGCGTCTTTATTTAAAATATGTGTTATTTATTTATTATATATGCGCAGATATTTAAAACATGTGTGTGTTATTTATAATATATGCGCCTTCATATATAATTTTTTGGTGTTATTTATTATATATGCGCCGTTATTTAAAATATGTGTTATTTATTTATTATATATGTGCCTTTATGTATAATATATATGCGTTTTATTTATTACTAGTATATATGCGCCCTTAATTTAAAACATATGCTTTTTATTTATAATATCATGTTGTTCACTAGAAACCATGGTTTAGCCAGTCGGACAAATGTTACAGAACATACGTATACTACTCTTAAAGCTATTTTGACAACTCGTGATCAAAGGGGTAAATTTATATATATCAAGTTATTCACAAATTGGGGACAGATTATTGTAAATGATTCACCTCTAAGATTAAATATTAGGTGCCTTTCAACAAAACATCCTTTTCCTGAATTTTTCTTAATGCATGAAAATACATTCGCGATAAGAATCCGCATGTAAATATTAAAATAATTGTCACAACCAAAATACATCCGGCAACCAGTCTATGTACCAGGGGTTACGGTGAGGTGAGGTGAAATTGGGTTTAACGTCGCGTCAAAGATTATTGCACTTATATAGCGACGTGCATGCACGTGTATGTGTGTGTGTGGCTGCTTGTACTAGTCCGGACTGATGCCGATTTATAGTGCTAGCTCACTGAGATACCATGCCGCAGTTTAACATGAATACCCCACTCAGACACAGTATACTGCCTCCGAGCCGACCAGTCCTTGTTTTAGCCCCTTAATGCCGAGCGCCAGACAGGGTAACAACAAGTACAATCTTTTAACGTCTTTTTGTATGACGCGGCCCGGGATCGAACCCTGGACCTTCCGCTCTCCGGGCGGACGCTCTACCACAAGACCACGGAGGCGGTATACCAGGGGTTACGACACACCATGTGAAACATTCGTATTGTTTAATAAAGGACACATTGCTGTGCGGAAATTGGTTAAATCGGTGTAAAGTTTGAAATTGCAATTATTTTAACGTGTGTTTTTTGCTGTTGTATCAAGTCGTTATTGACGTGGCAAATAACATTTTTATTAAAAATGGATAAAAAATAAAGGCCGGAGAAATGTATCATTTCCAATACATCACGTTTAAATGTGGGTCTGAGTGACACATTTTACATATTTCAACAGGCCCTACCGTTCCCACGGTGTGTGCCGACACCATCCCCAACTGCGCGCAGTACAGCAGCACCGTCTGCAGCGACTCCCACTACCTCCTCTGGGTGGAGGACAACTGCAGGAAGTACTGCGGACTCTGCCCCGGAGGTGAGCCATTGATATTAATACGACTACGACTACGACTATGACTACGATACGACTACTACTACTACTACTACTACTACTACTACTACTACGACGACGACGACGACGACGACGACGACGACTACTACTACTACTACTACTACTACTACTAATATCAGACAATAGATCCCTCCACCCCCGCTCTTCCCTAATCGCTTATATTTTCCAATCATAATGGGAGGGCGTGGTTTGATTAACGTGGGGGCTCTTCATGACAGAAATGTATTGTGCACTTTTGCACACATTTATTTGTCTGATGATCCTCTTGTGAAGCATGTCAAGAATCATGATGAAAACAAGGTATTCCACAGTTTTCTTAAACGAGCCAAGGATGTGGGACATTATCTTCAATGTCAGTGTAGATTTTGTTCTGAAATGCTGGACTGTACAGATATGAGTGTCAACCAAGCGAGATGTCATATCAAATCGGCCCAGACTCAGTTTTTCAAGTCGGCTAGCCTGAAAAGGGAAACAGAAGGCTTTAATGAGACTGTCCAACATATTGTCAGTGGATGCCCAGTTTTGGCACATACACAGTATCTTAAGCGATATGATGGCGAGGCTCGATCACTTTATTGCCGTCTTCGCCATGCTTGTGGTTTTGACACAGAAGTCTATTCATGGTACGACCCAGAATATGTAGAGGGCGTTATGGAAAAAGATAAATACAAAATTCTTTGGAATATGCCTATATACAGCCTCAGGCATATCCAGGCCAACAAACCTGATCTTGTCCTTTTTGATAAATCCAATGAAATAATTTTTATCATTGAATTTTCTGTCCCTTTTGACACTTATGTGATTGACAAGATTGAGGAAAAACATGGCAAATATGCGGACCTCGCTTTCGAAATGTCACGCTTGCATCCCAATAGGCAGGTTGTCCGACTCCCCATTGTTCTCGGTGCCTTAGCGTTGGTACCTCCTAATCTGTTGACTGACAATGGGAGAGTACCCGGGTTTGCTGCCAGGAATACAGCCCTTCTGACAACCTGGGTAATGCAGAAGGCTGCAGTGCTGGGGAGTCTTCACATTGAAGCATGTCATCGATCCTAATTGCGTGGATCGATGCTCATGATATTAATCACTGGATTGTCTGGTCCAGACTCGCTTATTTACAGACCGCCGTCATATAGCTGGAATATTGTTGAGTGCAGCGTTAAACAACAAACCAACCAGCCAAATCACATTCTCCGAAAAGTTCTGGGTTGGTTTGACTAGGCAGCTCTTCGTGGGAGAAGTCCCATTCACTGTCTGGGCTGCGTGTCGAGGGGGCAAGGGCCCTGAGCTGATGATGAGCCTAACCAGCCTGACTGCCAGGATCACCCAAACCCTCTTTGTTGCATTTATTTATTATGATCTGTAAATAATAAAAAAATATCATCCGGAGTGAGTCGTCGGTTATGTCAAAGCCATTCGTAATCTCCCGTTAAAGGAACAGTGTTCCAGTAAACGAACATCGGATGTACTGAAGAGGGCTACATCGTTTGTGTTCGATATATACGAAGCTGAAGGTCTTGTAAGTTGGGAGGACTATTTCGAACAGTGTTTCTATTGTAACAACTCTTCTTTTGTGAACAAAACTCACTCACCCACTCACTCACTCACTCACTCACTCACTCACTCACTCACTCACTCACTCACTCTGTATGTTTCAGGGGGACCTGTACAACCAGTGACCCCTGGCCCCGGGGCCCCGACTGTACCAGCTATCATCACCCCTCAACCACACTTTGTGACACCGGCACCCCCGGGCAAGTGATAGTTTCAAGGTTGCAATATCTGATGCAAATAAAACAACTTGTGATGAGCTGGATGTTTGTTATTCCTTATTAATCAGTAATGTTTGTTTGTTCGTTTAACGCCGCACGCAGCAATATTCCAGCTTTATGAAGGTGGTCTGTAAATAATCGAGTGTGGACCAGACAATCCAGTGATTGATACCATGACCACCGACCCACGCAATTGGGATACGATGACATCATAATGAAAAGACGGAAAGAGTGAAATGAATAATTGGGCATGTTTCAGTGAATGAGACATGTTTGTTTGTTTGTTAACACCGCACGTGTATAATCCAGCTACACCACGGCGATGTGTAAATAATGGAGTGTGGATCAGACAAAACGATGATTAATATAATGAGCAACGATTCCCGCCGCCAGGGTACGTTGACACGCCCTCAACCAAGTCACTTGACCACCTTATCTATTACGTCGCCGGGTACGACAAGTATAGCTTGCTGGGGGCCAATCGTATAACCCAGAATCCAAACTGCTACTACTACTACTACTACTACTACCACTACTACTACTACTACTACTACCACTATGCCCTTTTGTCTGGCCCAAATTCCACACATCATACGCACATATAGAGAGCGTACACGTATTGCTCCGCATCAGGTTAATCCTTTTTGTTCTCAGCTCCCTGGGGAGTATACCACCCAAGCACAACACTTCAGTAAAGGTATATACCCACTACAAGACTGCCCCTGGATAGAGCAAGGGATTACCCACAATACTGTTTTGTGATTTAGTCGCCACAACACGGCGGCTGTATCGTTAAAAGATGCTGAAACTTCGAACTTGTACACTTTTACACTGCAGCCAGAAACTTCGCTCAGTAACGCAGCGTCAGGAATGGATGAATAGAATTGCAACAGCAACGGATGCTACAGTTACCCACATTGTAACCACCCGATCCCCATTTTTGTCGGCTCTTACGAAATCACCATGGAACCTGGTGTACTCAAGAAAACCCAAATTTACTGAAAAACAGAAATAATTTTTTTTTATATGCATATAAAATATAGGGATAGGTAAATTATGGTTCACCAACTTCGAAAGAGTTCTCTTTTCACTGATGTTACAGTAAACTGAGGTTATAACGAACTCAAATGGGCCAATAGTTTTAGTTCGTTATAACTGTAGTTCGTATATACAACGTCTATACAGCAAATGGCCGGGACCAAGTTCGTAATATCCGTCAGTTCGTTATAAGCGTGTTCGTTATAAATGTAGTTTACTGTATTATACATTCGGTATGTTTATTCATTTAGACACAGTTTGATGTCTGACAAGGTCGAAGTCTGACGACTGAGACGTCTGACAGTGTTAGAGTCTGGTGACTGAGATGTCTGACAGTGTTAGAGTCTGGTTAGAGTCTGGTGACTGAGATGTCTGACAGTGTTAGAGTCTTGTGACTGAGACGTCTGACAGTGTTAGAGTCTGGTGACTGAGATGTCCGACAATGTTAGAGTCTGACGACTGAGATGTCTGACAGTGTTAGAGTCTGGTGACTGAGATGTCTGACAGTGTTAGAGTCTGGTGGCTGAGATGTCTGACAGTGTTAGAGTCTGCTGACTGAGATGTCTGACAATGTTAGAGTCTGGCGACTGAGATGTCTGACAGTGTTAGAGTCTGGTGGCTGAGATGTCTGACAGTGTTAGAGTCTGCTGACTGAGATGTCTGACAATGTTAGAGTCTGGCGACTGAGATGTCTGACAGTGTTAGAGTCTGGCGACTGAGATGTCTGATGGTGTTAGAGTCTGGTGACTGAGATGTCTGGCGGTGTTAGAGTCTGGCGACTGAGACGTCTGACGGTGATAGAGTCTGGTGACTGAGACGTCTTACAGTGTTAGAGTCTGGTGAATAAGACCTCTGACAGTGTTAGAGTCTGGTGACTGAGATGTCTGACGGTGATAGAGTCTGGTGACTGAGACGTCTTACAGTGTTAGAGTCTGGTGAATAAGACCTCTGACAGTGTTAGAGTCTGGCGACTGAGACTTCTGGCGGTGTTAGAGTCTGACGACTGAGATGTCTGACAGTGTTAGAGTCTGGTTACTGAGACGTCTGACGTTGTTAGAGTCTGACGACTGAGATGTCTGACAGTGTTAGAGTCTGGTGACTGAGACGTCTGACAGTGTTAGAGTCTGGTGACTGAGACGTCTGAGAGTGTTAGAGTCTGGTGACTAAGACTTCTGACGATGTTAGAGTCTGACGACTGAGACGTCTGACAGTGTTAGAGTCTGGTGACTGAGACGTCTGACAGTGTTAGAGTCTGGTGACTGAGACGTCTGACAGTGTTAGAGTCTGGCGACTGAGACTTTTGGCGGTGTTAGAGTCTGGTGACTGAGACGTCTGACAGTGTTAGAGTCTGGTGACTGAGACTTCTGACGGTGTTAGAGTCTGACGACAGAGATGTCTGACAGTGTTAGAGTCTGGTAAATATGACGTCTGACAGTGTTAAGGTCTGGTGACTGGTGGAAGTCACTATATAACCTTGTCGTACGTCGAGAGCTGACGTTTGAACGATTAATATTGTTACAAACACATTACGACATAATTACTTGATGAGATGTTGATGTTCACAATTTTGTAAACAGCTTCTTGCCGCTGGGCCACGGACAATAACAACATCTTATTGATCGATTAACACTTGCAGATGAAGAAAGGGGCTATAACACATATGGCTATGTTCATGTATGTGATTGACTGAGTTTGGGTTTAACGCCGCTTTAAACATCATTCCAGTTATATCACGGCGTGTTAGCTTGATGTGGGAGGAAAGCCTGAAGTGATGCAGGTCTCAGACGTGTACCACTTTGGTGAAACGTTAACCCACGAACATTAAGAATATCTTTATCGTCTTGAATGTAACTACATAATATTTTGCGATATTATATCTCAAATTGGTTGAAGCTGTTCTTTTCTTGAAAGCATATGTGTGATTGATGAATGCTATATGTATAAAACGTATATTATACATTTTATATGATATTAATCATGTTATACCGTTTTTCATAACCTCATGGGTGGATTCTGCACCTCATGTTTATTTAGACAAACAAATTCTCTCTCGTTTACCACTTTGGTGAAACCCACGAGCATGGTGCTGACGAACCTAGAAACATGATCGGAGCAAACGGTAGTCAAACCTAGAAACAGAAGTCTGTATGGCAAGCCGTTTTAACATTTATTACGGAATTACAGATATCTTCAATGGTTTTAAAGATATCGGTATTTTATTTAAAGATATCAATAATTTTTTAAGATATCAAAAAATAATTAAAGATATCTTAAATTCATTTGTGATATCTATAATAAAATTACTGATATCTTAAATGTTACGGTGATATCAACAAATTAGTTTTTGATATCTCTAAATGTATTTAAGATATCATTTAGCAGTTACCATCCTACTGTACATAAATATATTAGAAATAAATTCAAGATATCTAAATTCAATTCAAGATATCTTAAGATAAGTTATGCATATCTACAAATGCATTACAGATATCATTAATTCGTTTTAGATATCTTTAATTCAATTCAAGATATCGTTATATCAATTATTGACATCAGTCATCTAATTTAAGTAACATTATTAAAGTTTAATAATGGCAATATCAAGACATCAGCAATTCTTTTAAAGATATCAGTAAAACGTTTCAACATAACCTTAATTCATTTCGTGATATCTTAAATTTGATTGCAGATATCTACAACTATCTGTATTTAAGATATCTTCAATTCCATTTACGATATCTTCAATTCAATTGAATATATCTTCAATTCAATTCAGGATATCTTAAAAAGAATTGAAGCTATCTGTAATTCCGTAATAAATGTGAAAACGGCTTGCCATGACGACGTTTAAGAAGGTTTCCGAAACAGGCACATTTGTTGATGTTTGAGCGGGTTTGAAAAGAGACAAAATGGTCGATGTTTGAACGGGCTTTTGAAAGAGACATATTGGATGAATATATCTCACATACTGAGTACACAAAAAACATATACATCATATACTGAATGCACACTAACATTAACGTGAACATCCAGGTAGAATAGGTCTTCAGAAACCCATGATATCCAATATCTGTAATGCTTTGGGTGAAGATCATGTGCCGCTATGACTGAAGATCCTGTGCCACTATGCATGAAGATCCTGTGCCGCTATGCATGAAGATCATGTACCGCTATGCATGAAGATCATGTACCGCTATGACTGAAGATCATGTGCCGCTATGCATGAAGATCATGTACCGCTATGACTGAAGATCATGTGCCGCTATGCATGAAGATCATGTGCCGCTATGCATGAAGATCATGTACCGCTATGCATGAAGATCATGTACCACTATGCATGAAGATCCTGTGCCGCTATACATGAAGATCATGTGCCGCTATGCATGAAGATCATGTGCCGCTATGACTGACGATTATGTGCCGCTATACATGAAGATCATGTACCGCTATGCATGCAGATCATGTGCCACTATACATGAAGATCATGTGCCGCTGTGCATTGCGTAAAAATCGCGTTCAATTATGCTTTCTGGTTAAGATCATGTGTCTCTATGCGTTCTGTGATGATCCTATACTGCAGCGATAATGTACATATTTCGTACCAATTTTATTTTGTTTAATATCACATGCACCGCTACATGTATTGAACACATTGCATGTTCTATATCACCTACGCGTGCTTTACATGAATATAACCAGATCATCTCATTCGTTTTAGGACGTTTGATTTTCTGTTTGAATTAAATATTGATTATTGTAATTATGTACACATTTGCCCGTCTTCATTATGCAGATTAATATATAGAATGCATTGTGGCATGAAATAGTGACCATATGTAGTTGCAAATATATTCCAGGCAACTGATGTCCCAGTGCGGCAATAATCTCTATATTTAATTTCACATTTGTTCCAGACAACTGATGTCCAACTGCGGCAATAATCTCCATATTTAATTTCACATTTGTTCCTGACAACTGATGAACAACTGCGGCAATAATCTCCATATTTAATTTCACATTTAAAAATTAATTTTGTTCCAGACAACTAATGTCCAACTGCGGCAATAATCTCGATATTTAATTTCCCATTTGTTCCAGACAACTGATGAACAACTGCGGCAATAATCTCTATATTTAATTTCACATTTGTTCCAGACAACTGATGTCCAACTGCGGCAATAATCTCCATATTTTATTTCACATTTGTTCCTGACAACTGATGACCAACTGCGGCAATAATCCCCATATTTTATTTCACATTTAAAAATTAATTTTGTTCCAGACAACTGATGTCCAACTGCGGCAATAATCTCTATATTTAATTTCCCATTTGTTCCAGACAACTGATGAACAACTGCGGCAATAATCTCCATATTTAATTTCACATTTGTTCCAGACAACTGATGTCCCAATAATCTCTATATTTAATTTCACATTTGTTCCAGACAACTGATGTCCCACTGAGGCAATAATCTCGATATTTAATTTCACATTTGTTCCAGACAACTGATGAACAACTGCGGCAATAATCTCCATATTTAATTTCACATTTGTTCCAGACAACTGATGTCCAACTGCGGCAATAATCTCGATATTTAATTTCACATTTGTTCCAGACAACTGATGAACAACTGCGGCAATAATCTCTATATTTAATTTCACATTTGTTCCAGACAACTGATGTCCAACTGCGGCAATAATCTCCATATTTAATTTCACATTTGTTCCAGACAACTGATGTCCAACTGCAGACATAATGAAGTTATGAAGTATTAAATATAATCCAGACAACTCTTTGTTTGTTGTGTAACGCCGTACTCGGCAATATTGCAGCTTGATGATGGCGGCTGGAGACAACTCATGTCCCACTGAGGCAATAATCTCTATATTTAATTTCACATTTGTTCCAGACAACTGATGAACAACTGCGGCAATAATCTCCATATTTAATTTCAAATTTGTTCCAGACAACTGATGTCCAACTGCGGCAATAATCTCGATATTTAATTTCAACTTTGTTCCAGACAACTGATGAACAACTGAGGCAATAATTTCTATATTTAATTTCACATTTGTTCCTGACAACTGATGAACAACTGCGGCAATAATCTCCATATTTAATTTCAAATTTGTTCCAGACAACTGATGTCCAACTGCGGCAATAATATCTATATTTGATTTCACATTTGTTCCAGACAACTGATGTCCCAATAATCTCCATATTTAATTTCAAATTTGTTCCAGACAACTGATGTCCAACTGCGGCAATAATCTCTATATTTGATTTCACATTTGTTCCAGACAACTGATGTCCCAATAATCTCCATATTTAATTTCACATTTGTTCCAGACAACTGATGTCCAACTGAGGCAATAATCTCCATATTTAATTTCACATTTGTTCCTGACAACTGATGTCCAACTGCGGCAATAATCTCCATATTTAATTTCACATTTGTTCCAGACAACTGATGACCAACTGCAGACATAATGAAGTTATGAAGTATTAAATATAATCCAGACAACTGTTTGTTTGTTGTGTTACGCCGTACTCGGCAATATTGCAGCTTGATGATAGCGGCTGGAGACAACTCATGTCCAGCGATAGGAACAATGACACTGTTTAATGTCACATGTACTCCAGACGGCTGATGCCCAACTATATATATTAATAAAATATGTAAAATATGTAAGAGTCCCCTATCTCCCTGACCTGCGCAACTGTACACATGCACACGATAATTTGAACCTATATCATGACAATGTATAAAAAAAATAAAATGAAAATACTATTCTAGCTCAACACACCCTGGTATTGTTCATTTAACAACAGAGATTTTAAGATATCTATGATTTTGAAATTAAAAGAATATGAAACAGATAACATGTGACGTGAAATGAGGTTAAACGTCGCGTGTGTGTGTGTGTGTGTGTGTGTGTGTGTGTGTGTGTGTGTGTGTGTGTGTGTGTGTGTGTGTGTGTGTGTTTTGGAGGTACTACGGTATTTAAGTACACGTGATTCTCTCGTGTTCCCGCAGCCCACCATTGTTGGGTGCATAATCACGTTTTACTGGAGTTGAGGTCACCAGATGTATGTCTATTATCTAAAATAGGCCACGTCGCAAATAAACTGCCGGGCAAAAAACGTATTTATTTACAAATTGGATATGACCAACGTCACAGTCGCTGAAACACTGCTAAGTTCAGGTCCAAAACCCCACCATGACACTCGTATCAAATACATCGCCCGGATTCTAGCTCTTTTCCTCACATATCTCGCGGCGTGATATTGCTGATACGCACTGCCCCAACTCATTGACGTTTGATATATATAAACTCGATTTAGGTTTAAATTGTTACAAAATAAATTGTTAATAATATATATACAATTAACAATGTAAACCTAAATCGTGTTTAGAAAGATATTTTCTAGGTTAACAGTAAATGTGTTCGGATTAACACATTTTACAAAAATATGCATAATCATTTAACATTTAAACTATACGGAAGGTGAACATAATTAAATAAATGCCCTTTAATACAGTTAGAATGAAGATGTATAACAGCCCAATTTTAAATCTTTGTCGTCCATATGTAATCTTTAAATGTCCATTACAGATATATCTTACGTCATCCAGGCTGAACAGTAAAAAACTGAAGTGTATATAAGTTAGTCCTTGTGATCGGCACCGTCTGTTTTGTGGACTTCACCTGCTCTATCTGTCGACTAGTTGACGTTGCTGTACAACCGGTGCACAGATGTTGTCTCTTGTAGTCGCTGCCGTCGTGTTTGCCTTTGTCAACGCTCAGATTGATCCAAGTGAGTACGCTGGAAACGTCTCCTTTACGTTCGCTTGTCGTGGGTACGAATTCCCTGTGCACCTTAATTGTTGCCCTTCGGGAGTGAGTGAGTATTGGTTTACGCCGCTTTTAGCAATATTCGAGCAATATAACGGCGGGGACACCAGACATAGGCTTCACATATTGTACCCATGTGGGGAATCGAACCCGGGTCTTCGGCGGGTCTAGCTTTAACCACCAGGCTACTCGTCGGGACTGTAACTGTGATGGGGGCACGGGTGGCCCAGTCGCTTAAGGCGTCGCAATCAATCGATTTTATCATATGGACTATTGTAATTTCATATTCTAATAAAGAAATACTTCGTTTTTTTAAATTTTGAAAGTGAAACATTTTACTAAACGCCTCTGGTGTCATTTATTTGCGTAAGTCATGAATCTGTTCCCGAGAAAACTCCTTCGAATGCATACACACACACACACATAGGGATTTGTCATCTGATACATTTGGGACATCACTGATACATTTGGATATCATGCTGTTTGGATGCAAAGTCATCAATGTGATCATGTTTGTTAAGATCCGTTTTTAATGAATAAACTGGCCCAATTGACAACAGGAGGCACTGGTAGCCCAGTCGTGTAAGGTGCTGCAATTCGTTGTGCAGTGTTGCGTCCCTTGGGGCATGCCAGAAACCTATGGTCGTGGGTTCGAATCTCAGTTCGTGGTGTGTCAGCACCATACCAATGCTCGTAGGTTTCACCAAAGTCGAAAACGTCTATGACCTGCATCACGTCGGTCTTTCCTCCCACATAAAGCTGACGCGCCATATTATAACTAGAATACTGTTCAAATCGGCGTTAAACACAAACTCACTCACTCGCGGAAACGTTCTGAAGGACCTCACATTTTGCTGTATTTAATCTGACAAAGGAATAACGTTATATATATTTCCCTGATATATATGACACGCCGTGATAAAACTGGAATACTGTTAAGAGCGGCGTTTAACCAAGTCACTCACTATATGGCATGTTATGTTCCAACTTTGATTTATTTCAGCATGCGTGGATAAGCTTCCCAACTGTGACGTATTTGGGGAGGAGTCATGCAAGGGACAATATGAGTCATGGGCGAAGGAAAACTGCAACAACACGTGCAAACTGTGCATAGGTACAGTGTGGACATACAGATGTGTGGAAGTAGAAACATGCATTCTCCCGTAACAGTTTCTCGTGACCCTTTCTAAAGTTTCAGAATAATATATAGCTTCCTTCAGACTGACAGACGTGTGCCATGTTATTTGTTTGAGAAATAATTGGTTGGGTCGTTGATTGACAGATGTATACAATGTTATTTGTTTGAGAAATGGTTGGTTGGATCGTTGATTGACTGACAGATGTATGCCATGTTATTTGTTTGAGAAATGGTTGGTTGGATCGTTGATTGACTGACAGATGTATGCCATGCTATTTGTTTGATAAATGGTTGGTTGTATCGTTGATTGACTGACAGATGCATGTCATGTTATTTGTTTGAGAAGTGGTTGGTTGTATCGTTGATTGACTGACAGATGTATTCAATGTTATTTGTTCGAGAAATGGTTGGTTGGATCGTTGATTGACTGACAGATGTATACCATGTTATTTATTTGAGAAGTGGTTGGTTGGATCGTTGATTGACTGACAGATGTATGTCATGTTATTTGTTTGAGAAATGGTTGGTTGTATCGTTGATTGACTGACAGATGTATGTCATGTTATTTGTTTGTGGAATGGTTGGTTGTATCGTTGATTGACTGACAGATGTATGTCATGTTATTTGTTTGTGGAATGGTTGGTTGGATCGTTGATTGACTGACAGATGTATGCCATGTTATTTGGTTGAGAATTGGTTGGTTGGATCGTTGATTGACAGATGTATACCATGTTTTTTGTTTGTGAAATGGTTGGTTGGATCGTTGATTGACTGACAGATGTATACCATGTTATTTGTTTGAGAATGGTAGGTTGGATCGGTGATTGACTGACAGATGTATACCACGTTATTTGTTTGAGAAATGGTTGGTTGGATCGTTGACTGACAGATGTATTCCATGTTATTTGTTTGAGAAGTGTTCGGTTGAATCGTTGATTGACTGACAGATATATGTCATGTTAATTGTATGAGAAATGGTTGGTTGGATCGTTGATTGACTGACAGAAGTATACCATGTTATTTGTTTCACAGATAAACCATACAAATAAGTACTGTCACAGTATCCCCATTCCACTTAGCGGCGCTCTGTGGCGCTCTTAGAAAGTGCCATAGATTGCCATATAGAGAGCTAAGATGTCCAAAAGCGTTAATGGATCGCTATCTGATCTCTAACTGATCTCCATGATCGTCAGGGTCGCCGCCTGCCGACTACCCTGTACAAAGATCCGTGGCGCTCCGTCGAGAATGCCGTCAGATCGCTACTTGGTCGCCGAGATTGCCATCGGAGCACTACTTGATCGCCAAGGTCGCGCTATGGTTTTACCTTAGAGCGCCGCCGATCGCCACGAAAGACTAGGACCTACCCCTCTGCTACCAAACGTAGAACTGATGCACGCCTCAGAACAATACCAATTTTTTATAGGATCGGACCCACATTTCGCTGATCGGGTCGCAATAGGATCCCATAGAACGCTAATTGAGTGCTAATGGATCCCCATAGGTCGCCTAGATTGCTATCGGATCGGAGTAAAGCGCATTAGATCGCAATGATCGCCATCGGAGCGCAGATAGAGCGCCATTGGATCGCATTCGATCGCCTTGGATCGCAAAAGGAACGGGAACTGATCGTGCATGATCGCCATATTTATGGTTGTTTTGTTACGATCAAGGGTCTTCAAATCGCTATCGGATCGCGTAGATCGCTATTGGATCGCAACAGGGGCGCTATCTGATCGTAATCAGATCGTAAGTGCCCCTAGATGAAAAATAAGGAGACCTATGGCGCTCCCTCAGAGCGCGTAGAGCGTCGCCTAGTGGAATGGGGGCATAATGGACAAATAAAACCGTCAACTATGTAAAGTACATTGAAGGTGGGAACTACTGTCTGACAAACGGTATGAAGGGCTGGAATGGTTGCATGCATGTCCTCCCGAAATGTTACAGTTCAGGAGAAAACAGGCACTCCGCTATTTCGTATATTTTCTGGGATCATGTAGTTTGGCTAATTAATGGTTGACCAGCTAGTCGGTTGGTTGGTCGACCTTTCCTCTGCTTAGTATTCCATACAACTGCACATTTCGCTATCCAGGGCCAACAAAACCACCTCTGCCTTGTGAGGATTCGATCAGCGATTGCAACAACTACGGCAAGTCCACGTGTACCGACCCCCAGTTCGATCAATGGGCACAGCACAAATGTCGATACTTTTGTAGACTGTGTACAGGTCGGTATTTACATTGAACCACTAGATCTTAGACAAATGTTGATATTTTTGTAGACTGTGTACAGGTCGGTATTTACATTGAACCACTAGATCTTAGACAAATGTCGATGGTGTTGTAGACGGTGTACAGGTGGGTTTTTACATTGAACCACTCGATCTTAGACAAATGTTGATACTTTTGTAGGCTGTGTACAGGTCGATTTTTACATTGAACCACTAGATCTAAGACAAATGTCGACAGTGTTATTAAAAGTGAACCATTTGATCTAAGACAAATGTCGATAGTGTTATTGACATTGAACCAGTAGATCTAAGACAAATGTCGATAGTGTTATTCATAGTGAACCACTTGATCTAAGACAAATGTCGATATTGTTATTCATAGTGAACCTCTAGATCTAAGACAAATGTCGATAGTGTTATTCGTAGTGAACCACTAGATCTAAGACAAATGTCGATAGTGTTATTGACATTGAACCAGTAGATCTAAGACAAATGTCGATAGTGTTATTGACATTGAACCAGTAGATCTAAGACAAATGTCGACAGTGTTATTCATAGTGAACCACTAGATCTAAGACAAATGTAGATAGTGTTATTCACAGTGAACCATTTGATCTAAGACAAATGTCGACAGTGTTATTCATAGTGAACCATTTGATCGAAGACAAATGTCGACAGCCTATAACTATATTAATAAATTGGTAGTGATTATGTAGTATGTAAGCGGCTTACCAAGCTAATTGTTGCGTTTATGTTTAAATATACCTCTAGATCATTAAATCACGCCCACCACCAGACTCCTGTCCCAGATTGGCTGACAATTGATTGGGAGGGGCTTGCGCTGATTTGGTCCGTATTGCTTATGTAAATGATTAAATGAGCAGTTTGTGTATTCATAAGAATTGACTTTAGAGAGGTATTAACGTAATATTAGGGTACATAGTTACGTAACACTGCAATGTTTAACATATTTCAGCTCAGGAACTCGCACTGAAAGACTCTCAAACAACAACAATAGCTCCAGCAGGTGAGTATAATGTACTAAGATGAACAATAAGAAGTTAATAATAGAATAATACATGTTTAAGTGAATAATCAAATCGGGATTGCAACAACGATGTAGGTGATCTGCGTAGCTAGGACATGCCTGTTAAATTATTTCATACGGAAGGTCACAACTGTTTCAACACAATCCAATTCCACATTGATACACTTTTGCCGACGCTGTTGGGGAACTCTTATCCCAGTTTTGTAGAATTCCTTTTCGTGGCTGTCAGAAAAGTTCTCCACAGTTGTTAGGACGTCATCGTTTGAGTCGGTTAGATTTGTCTTCGTGTATGGGAACAGAAGTTCAAAGCCACACTCGTGGACTGTAGCCATGGCAATGGCTGATGTGTGCACGTTTGCTTTGTCTTAATTTAGTGACATGAGATATGATGACACCGAGGCCATAACCTTTCCAGCCGATAGGACGGTCTTTGCCTTCTGTGGTGGTGGTGTCAAATCCATCCACTCTTTTGATTGTTGTTTGAACCCAGGTTTCATCGATAGTCACAAATCGTTGCAAGAACCTTTCTGAACCAGCTTCAAACAGCTAGATTATCAAGCGACATGCTGTGTCGTGTCCGTTTTTGATGAGTTGCCAGAAGCTCTGGAACTAACGAGCTAATACTGCTTCATTGCCACAGTTTCTGTGGTAATGAAATGTACGCTCTCCAGGGAAATTCCTCCTGTACGGGTAATGTAAAGTGCAGCTATTCGCCGGTCCGTCATCGCCATTTCGTAGATTCTCTGGATAATTTCCGGTGATGGGGACGTCATAGGCCTTATCCTAGTGGGGTAGAACTATTAAACCGACCTTAGTCCGGACTAGTTCAAGCAGGCAAACACATGTACATGCACGTGGCTATAAGAGTGACATATACTTAAATATGACATTAAACCCCATTTCACCTTACTCATATATACATGCATTTTTTTCAGATTGTAAAGATAAACTTAACTGTAAAATGTACGGGAAAGACTCGTGCCACGGAAGTTACGAATCCTGGGCAAGGGGGAACTGCATGGAGTTTTGTGGATATTGTATAGGTACGAATCTTGAAACATGCTACACAGCGGCGTCCCTTTAGTCTGTATAGGGAAATATAGGAAATGATTTAACCAATCTCAGTTAATTCAGATCGTTTACTCAGTTATGATAAGTCTCTGAGTTAAGAGACTCGTGAAGATCCGGGTCTTCAGCAACCCATGCTTGCCGTAAGAGGCGACTATGCTTGTCGTAAGAGGCGACTAACATCATCGGGTGGTCATCTCGCTGATTTGGATGAGGCAGGTCAACGTATCACAATTGCATGGATCGATGCTCATGATGTCAATCCCTCGATTATTTACAGACGGCCGTCATAAAGCTGGAATATTGCTGAGAGCGGTGTTAAACAGTAAACAAACAAAAACAAACTGAGTTAAGATCTGAGGACACCGCCATAGAAGTTTGCGTCATCTGAACTCTGAATGACATGTGATCGTTTAAACTAAAAGAGGGATCTAAGCCAATCAGCAGTCAGCTTTCTAAACCGATTCGGCTTCGAAATTTTACCTCCTCGATCCTGAAATTTCGATTTATACAAATGAACACAAGACAAAAATATTCGTTAGATCGTACACAGGTTTGTTTGTTTGTTGTCTAACGCCGCACTCAGCAATATTCCAGCTATGACAGTGGTCTGTAAATGATGTCTTAAAGAAAGATCCTTAATATTTTGATTTACCGTTATTTCCAGGCGTCCCGACCCCACCCGCTGCCTGCATAGACAAAGTTCCCAACTGTGCTCAATATGGCACGGATGTCTGCTCGGATTCCAATTATGATCTGTGGGTGGCAGACCACTGTGCCAAATCCTGCAACGCTTGTGGTGGTAGGTACCTTGAAATGATCACATCACGTGAAGTCGTTTCGATCTAAGGTCACATAACGAATCTTCTCAGATCTTTCTTGGTCGTTCCAGGAACCGTGGACCTGGTTATGGTTCTAGGTCTGTCAGAATAAACCCGTCCTCGTGGGTTTACCCAAAATAGTAAACGTCAAAGATCTGCATTAGTTCGGCTTCTGCCCCACATCAAGCTGACACGCCATTCAATGCAACTGACATGTTGTTGAACACACATCGTTGTTATATGTTATTGAAATACTACGTTTATAACGAACACGCTAAAAACGAACTGACGGATATAACGAACTTATGTTTTTGTCCCCGCCATTTGTTGTATATATGCTGTATATATGCTCATGACGAACTATGGTTATAACAAGCCACAATAAGTGATCCCTTTGAGTTCGTTATAACCGTAGTTTTCTGTAGTAATATTTTACTGAAATAATATAGTCACCGATATCATCACGTGTTTGTTTGGTCTATATTAAAACCTTATTATCGCTTGGTGATTCGAAGGAAATGACTATAATATATGGCCTTACTTCATACACTGTTCTCAGGTGTATATGTAAAGATTCTTTGTCAAATATTACAAAAACTCGATAATGCGTTTTCAAAGTGTTTTAGTGTGCACCAAAACACTTTGATTACTTATAATCTATTGTTTCTAATATTGACAAAATGACCACAAAATCAATTAAGTTGTTCTTTGTATTTAGAAATAAGTATTTTGAGATAATCAAACATAACAATGTCATTATGTCACACAGTCATCGTTCATTGTCAAAGCCAGTAAACCTTTACTGCGGTCTCCGTTTTCATGAAGTGTTAGTTTTGTTGATAATCAAGTTTTCAATTCCAGGTGCAGTGAGTCACGTCACGTCCGGCCCGGGCCCCATCACTTCCGGCCCAGGGCCAATCACTTCCGGTCCCGGGCCAATCACTTCCGGTCCCGGGCCAATCACTTCCGGTCCGGGGCCCGTCACTTCCGGCCCGGGACTCTTGACCCCACCAGGCCCTCACTTGCTGACACCACCTATGCCCGGAAAATAAAACCAATACAGACTAATTCCGTGGATATATTGTTCTTGTCTCTGGTCAGTGAATGTTCCAACCGTTCCCCTCTAGGCTGGGATAAAACTTATTTTGTGTGAGTCGAGAATTCCATCTGCATACATACACGGAGCCATATTTGGTTCTGCTAAGAAGTATGCTGTACTAGATCCTAATAAGCAACCAATTTGAAATTCTGTCTTTACTTAGTTATTTTCTTTTGTCTTTGAAAGGCATTTAGAAGTGATACACATAAGGAAGAGAATTTATGGACGTCAACTTCTTTATTTTTGGGGACACAACGTTTCGGAGTATAAACTTCCACTTCCACCAGGTGAATGACCTGATGAAGCAGTTATAATATACTCAGAAAAGTTGTGTTCCTCATAATAAAGAAGTTGACATCCATAAATCACTTCCTTAGATTATTTTGGTTGATTGTAAACAGAAAGGCGTTCAAGGGCTATTACTAAACATTTATCTATGTAATAATACCAATGGCTATATCCTCTTGTCTTGGTAATCTCACGATAACTCAATTTGATTATTCCTTGTCACACTGAACAACTGATTTGTTATTTGTATCATCAGCATCTGATCCCCAGGGGAGGGATCAGTCTAGTATTCCGTCCTTGTCCTCATTGAAACTAATTGCTTGAACCACAAAGATAGGTGGGGAACCTAGGGTGTTGTACCTGTAACATTGGTTGAATGACAACATGGGTAGACTATCTTACGTGGCATCTCTGTGACATTGCGCTCCATATGAGATAGTTGGGTTTTATGCCACAATTTTGTATTATTGTAACTATATCAGGACACGTGACATCATGAATGGGATACGGTGAGTGAAAACCGTTATATCATACTAAGCAACGTGCTGAGGGGCACGGGTTGCCTAGTCGTATACGTCACGTCTCTTGACTCTAAGGGCGGTTGGGTAGCCTAGTGGTTAAAGCGTTCGCTCGTCACGCCGAAGACCCGTGCTCGATTCCCGACATGGGTACAATGTGTGAAGCCCATTTCTGGTGTCCCCCGCCGTGATGTTGCTGGAATATTGCTAAAAGCGGCGTAAAACCATACTCACTCACTCACTCACTCTTGACTCTAAAAGCCTTGCACATTGCACATCATCCATATTGACCAGATTTGAGACGTGCAAAAAAAAAAATTAAAAACACACGCCAAATACTCAACATTATATTATTCACGATACTGCAACGGCAAATCCAAAACCCAGGATTTGCGACACTGAAACACCCAATATTAAAAAACCCATTATTTACAATGATACAATTAAATTTCAAAGACAACAACATTATGTGCAGTAATACAGATATAGACATACTTTAAAATGGTAAGCATATAATAAATCATTTGCAAACAAAACTTCATTATTTACCATCATGAACCCTGTACAAACGCAAACAAAACTTCATTATTTACCATCATGAGCCCTGTACAAACGCAAACAAAACTTCATTATTTACCATCATGAGCCCTGTACAAACGCAAACAAAACTTCATTATTTACCATCATGAGCCCTGTACAAACGCAAACAAAACTTCATTATTTACCATCATGAGCCCTGTACAAACGCAAACAAAACTTCATTATTTACCACCATGAGCCCTGTACAAACGCAAACAAAACTTCATTATTTACCATAATGAGCCCTGTACAAACGCACAACAAAATCATTACTTACAAAGGAGTTTTCACACATTATTATAGATAAATGCAAACAAACCAACATAATTTATATTTATGCTACCTGTTTTGCGGTTTGAACGCAAAACAAAGCTCATTATTTACAATTATTAAGCAACTTCCGACGAATGCAAAACCAGATATATTTTTTAATATATATGATGCTTCTTAACAATGAAGACTCATATTTTACAAGCGACAAACAAAATCCATTATTTACGATGCAGCTTCTCAAAAAAAACACACACCATAAAACCCCCCCAAAGCAATGGACATGTATTATAACTAGATCGAGGGAACAATTACATTTTCCGTAAAACACATGACAAATTATTATCATTTTCCAGTTTGTTACCTGGAACAAATTTGGAAAAGATCCGGTTACGTTCCTGATCAAGGAATCATAGTTACAGATAATGCCACTTTGACTTCACGAAACCGCACCCGGCACTAATAGCCTGAAGACTGTATGTAGACGTTACATTTTGTTTAACACCGCATGATTGACATCGTAAGCATCGACCTTCGCAATTGGGATACGATGACGTGCATCAGCGAGTCTGACCACCAAATAGAGGTTCAAATGAAACCATGCAGTGTTTACATGTAGCATTGCTATGTTCCCCACTTAATGCACGTTATTTCCAGGCTATTATTCATGCCACAAAAACGTAAACAAGTTAATGCAAAATTATTTCAATAAGCATAATAAGTCCTTTGCACGATTCCGACCATATCAATAGACGATGTTTATGAATCACCATCTGCTGGTAATGGCACCAGGTGTTCTCGAATAGAGAGCGTATCCTGCCCCAGTGGTGCCATCCGTTGCAAACACGTGCAAAGGCAGCTCAAGTGTTCACCTCAACACGCGAACATTATACAGTAAACTACGGTTATAACGAACTCAAAGGGACCACTTATTTGAGTTCGTTATAACCGTTGTTCGTTATAAGCATATAAACAGCATATATACAACAAATGGCCGGGAGTAAAAAAAGGTTCGTTATATCAGTCAGTTCGTTATAAGCGTGTTCGTTATAACCGTAGTTTACATTTAAGTACAAACTAGGGAAAGTCATCGGACGGATTTGAAAGACCTTGGTTCCCAACAGTTGTGAAAGGCTGGAGCTGCTGGAACATTGCTCCACATCAAAGTGACTCCTTATCTAAGTATGAAACGGATAAGGTGGTTTGACTTCTCCTTGTTTTAGTTTTAGGTCCAGGTGTCTAAATAATGGAATTGGCAATTTAACCATTATGGAACGATATCAGATCATGAACATACATGAAGCAAAAGTTAAACGACTTGGCTAGTTTGGCAAACTTTGATTTTGTAGAAATTCTAACTCGCATGCATGGAGAAACAGATCAGCAAGACGGGGAGCACCATTGGTGCCCATTAGGATACATTCTTCTTGCTTAAATGTCCTATACTCAAATTTCACACGAATCTTATCCAGCAGAAAGTCCATCATTTCACACACGTCACCAATGTAATGAAATTGTTAACACTTTGTCTAGGTTCTTTCACACGCCAATAAAATTAATGTATGAGTACAATAATCTTTTTAGGAATTAAACACTACCAACGCACAGAAAACATTAAAGCGCAAAGCCCGAGACATTAAACAATTCTTTAAAAATAATAACATTTGAGTACATTGCGGTTGCATCCTGAAAGTCCATGTTAGAAGCCTCATTGCTTTACTGAACGTTTTAAAATATTAAACATTTATTCAATGAATATGTCAATTTTCTTAAATGTGTGCTCGCCTTCTCTTATCAGGACTTTTGTCCCAGTTGAGCTGCTGGAATCTCCTACGCAAGTTTTCACGAAAAAACAAACTTAGATAAAGACTCGACCTCCACCTGTTATTCTTTCTTTTGACGAAGGATTTATCAGGCTCTGCAAATCTAAAAGTCATTTTTCCTGTACAAATGGATCGTCTTTTAATTCTTTTTTTTCTTGGGTGTGTCCGAGGACAGTTACCTTCTGCTGAACGTAAGTATTGCAATAGTCCCCATGAATATGTGGGTGACTCTACATGGTAGTTTATATGATGTACTATTGTATATTCCTGCATGCACATATTGTTAGTGGGGTCGTGTATGTGTTCATTGTCTTGCCAATTAATAACATAATGTTTTTTTTCTCACTAAATAGATAATTTTTAAATCAGTTTCATATATGTTATCTGTTGACTGTACACTTTCGGTAATTTTTTAACCGTGGCCACTTTTGATAAAGACATTTCATGTTTCCTCAGGGTACTTTCTTTAAATTTAAAGTCACTAAGGTCTATTTATTTCTCACAAGCGAAGTCTTCAGGACACTTCTTTGCAAATAACAATTTTAGAGGGAATTTCTCACAAGCGAAGTCTTCAGGACACTTCGTTGCAAATAACAATTTTAGAGGTAGTCGTAGTAACGAAAGTAAATAGTAGACGTGTGTATGTGCTCTAGTGCAAGCTCATACATGATTGATCCATCGTGCATTTGTCTTGGTGGTGCCTTGTTAATGAAAATTTAACTTAATTATTAGCCTGCAATATTTATCAGCAAAACGATTTTGGATACCAAAGTTTGTTGAAGTAATTCTTGTATATTATTATACGCTATTATTTCTTTCGAGGTATCAATTTGAAATGGAACATGTTTAATGAGTACTGCTGTACGGCGTCAGGCAAAATACGCTTATTCTGTTTCTAGAGGCGGGTGCTGCCGGGTGAGGTGAAATGGGGTTTAACGTCGCGTCCAAGATTATTGCACTTATATATAGTGTGTGTGGTTGCTTGTACTGGTCCAGACCATAGCCAAGTTTATGGCGCTAGCCAACTGAGATACCATTTAGCAGTTTTAACATGAATACCGCACTCAGACTTCGAGCCGAGCGCCAGGCAGGGTATCAAGAAGTACCTTCTTTTAACGTCTTTTGGTATGACGCAGCCGGGGATCGAACCCTGACTTTCCGCTCCCCGGGCGGACGCTCTACCACTGGACCACGGAGGCGGTCTTGGCGCTACCGGGATGGCATGACATGTTTACCCTTTCCGGGAACACACGATGTCAGCTTTGGTTTTCAGTGATCCATTCATATAATTTTCACCGCAATGTTACCTGTTACGCCCAAACTGGTCTGTTTCGGCAGATATTCGTGACTGCTTCGTTTCATATTTATAAGGAAAACGACGTAAGTGTCACAACGTGTCAGATTAATTTGTCACAGGCAGCTTGGATTGTATACTCCCCAGGTAGCTGAGAATGAAAATCGAGTGCACATTGATCTATTGACCGCGGTAATAATAATGTAGAGCTATGAGCATTCATTGGTGAATGGATTTTGGCGCATTCTAAATTCACTTATTAATCAATCAATATTCAACACACTCGGGTCCATTTGAGTAGGGATATTTCACAAGTGCACTGTTCACCGTGTTGCTCTAGATCCCGCCGCTTATATTTCGTATAACACGACGGTCGTTTTTGAAGACGGGTTATTCTGTGCTTTACATAAATAAAGTACACACGAGTACTCTCTGATCAGTCAATCAGCGTCAAGGCTTCTCAGTTCTCGGTTTGAGTGAGCGAAGCATTCAAATATATCTTATTTCTGTATCACGAAAACGAATATAATCGAGGAGTTCCAAATGCAATTAAATAAAACCGCACTACTAGAGTGTTGCATATACGTCTTCTGGTAGTTCTGTAATATTAATCCAACTATCGAGGTTAAATTTGTGTTCTGTGGCCGTTTCTTTTGCTAAGATTAACATTTTGGAATACAGGTTGTGAAGAAATGTGTCGCATGCGTGTGGTGCTAGACAAAGCTGCTTGTGTAACTTTTCTATTTAATGCATGTTAAACGAAAAGAAAGTTCAAAATGACGCCTAGAACACCAAACAGTATTGCAATATCACCCTGAAAGTTGCATTTTTTATTCTAAAGTATATACATAAAAAGTCGCATATCTGAATACATATAGACTACCAATGCATAGCTCATCATATTCATGAAACTGCTTTGATTCATGATTGAATCAATAAATGAAACTGATTTGAGCCCGAAGCAGGTAACCAGAGTAGCGCACCCTGCGGTTCAGTAGGTAGTGGCAAATTTGGGAAACCAAAGTATAACATATAAGTCAGTTAACATGTGCTAACAGTAGTCGAACAAAGGTAGCTTGGGTTGGGTTCCCCAGGGCATCGACCGTTTGAAATCGAACGCGAGCAGCATTTTCCCAGCTCTTTCTCAAAGTCAATTAGGTAGTCCAAGCTAAATACTCTCGGGATATGCTCCTATTACTTCATTCGGATATTTGAGGTTATGTATTTTTAAGGGAGCAGCGATATTGACATAAGAAAGTGAAGTAAAATAACGACATTTCGGGCGATTAATAATGGGTTTGAATAGAAAGGAAAAAACCTCAGAGTCATTACCCCTTAATCTGCCTTAAAGATTTCATTCAAGGTTTCAGCACCAAGGGCCTGGTCTAGTCATTCCAGAAATGCTATGGTTGACATTCAGAATACATGACACTCTTTACGGATAGCAACGTCTTCTATTCTCAGTCACAACGTTTCAGAGCTACTTCATCTGATGAAGTAGCAAGAAGTAGCTCTGAAAGGTCGTGACTGAGAATAAAAGAAGTTGCTAATCCAAAATATGTTATGTATTCTGAATGTCTACCATAGCATTTCCATGTATTCACTTTCTTCCTACTTTTAAATGCCTATCAATGACTACATTAGACATTCAGAGTAATTGACTAAATATAACACGTTGTATGTCCCATACAATGACACCAGGAGTTTTCGCAACTCCTTTCTCACTGGCACTTACGATTGTAACGAAAATTAGGGGGAGCTACCGGTACGGCATGACATGCTTACCCTTGTCGAGAACACCTGATGTCATCGCCAATGTTCAATGCTCCATTCATATAATTGTTAAATACCACTCTTTTGCCTTTTACGACCTATTGAATCTAGTTCGGCAGATATTCAAAACTAACTCTGGCGTTGATGTCTTGAACTAATGGTTCACTTTGAACGCACCTTCCGAATTGAAAATGGTTCACTGTCTGCCTCCCTCCCCCAGCCTGCCAGGACAAGCTGCCCAACTGTGCTGCTTATGGCCAAGCATCCTGCACTTCCTACACCGACTGGGCCAAGGAAAACTGCAACAGCTACTGCAAGTTCTGTACAGGTAGTATTTTACCATCACATTATGTTGCCTGCTCGTAGGACGATATGGGACTGGGTGAACTAGGCTCCAGCACCCTATTATCGGTCGTAGGAAGCAACATAAATTATCACTGATACAGTGCGAGATGGTGTGGGTCGTTTGTCTAGTCCGGACTCGACTATTTATAGGTAGAATTTTACTGACTTTGACGTAAAACAAACGTCACTCTCAATCAACTAAAAGGCACGGGTTGGTGATTCAGGCATAAGATCTGGATATATTTTAGCACAGCAAGCAGAACAAAACAGACTGAAGTTTTATTAATTTAAGCTCTTACCAAATTCTTCTGAATGTAATGCATAGACGTTAAACAACATTCCTTTACTTACGTTACCATTTTGAATTATTCGTTGAAATTAAGGTTGAATTAATTGTGTAGAATATTTTCTCTATTGGTACACGTTTATGAAATGAAACAAACAAAACGTGGTTATACGATGGTGAGTGTGAGTGAGTATGGTTTTACGCGCGTTTAGCAATATTCCAGCAATATCACGACGGGGGACACCAGAAATGGGCTTCACACATTGTACCCATGTCGGGAATCAAACCTGGGTCTTCGGCGTGACGAGCGAAAGCTTTAACCACAGGCTACCCGACCGCCCGTTATACGATGGTGATATGTTTGATACTGTGTTTGCAGTGTTTCGGCGAATGTTTTAGCCTAGTGATGTTTCAATAGCGTTTGTGATATTCTGGTCAACTCCAATGTTCAAGTGTATGGTTTCCTTTGGACACGACTTTGCACAGAACATTATCATTCGCGTGAGAAGAGCGTTGTACGTACAGAATGAAATAATTTAATACATGTAAAAAATGACAAAAATTGACTTTTCATGTTCTTTATCAATGCGGCATTTCGAATAAAATCGAAAATGCGCTATGGAGTGAATGTGGCGTTTCTATAATGCATCAGTAAACACATTTCTATCCAGAGGCTCTTGAATGTGTATCTTGCCACAGCTAACATACCATGTGAAGACAAATCCAACGACTGCGCCAACTACGACACGGCCACGTGCAACAACCCACAGTTCAGCCACTGGGCCGACACCCAGTGTCGCTACTTCTGTCGACGTTGTTCAGGTGAGAACCAAATGTCCCCGATAACTCGAAGTCATCTGTTGATATGTTAAATGTCGAGTTGTCCGTAGTTCGAGACAAGCGGAACACTCATTCGAGACCTTAGACTGCCCACCCCCTGTAGTTACATCGAAGTAAGCAGCATATCGAGATAATGGTATTCCGGTTAACGAGGTGTTACGAGATGCGGAGGATTTGCGAGTGTCAATATCAAACGGATTGAAAGAAATCACTTTTCGAGCGACACACATATTTTATTCCTAATATAACATATTTACGATCCCATGGATGTAATGCTGTTTTATCCTATAATGCGATCCTTAACATACGGGATGTTTAACACTTTTTTGCAAGAAGTGAAGTCTTCGAAAAACGCGTGTGAATACAATGTTTGAGTAAACCGGTCAGTTTATCATATAGTGCCAAATGACTGCTATGTTTGTCTGCAAGAACACAGGGACACATTGGGAAACCTCATTTACAAGCATATTGGGGAAGTTCGTCAACAGTTTATCGAGGAGGAAGGCCTTACATCGATGTGTGGAGCTTTAAGTAGTGCCTGCTGGTTGATCTTATTTGCATATTTATCGGATCGTGATTTCCAAGTTTATTGCATTGAATAATTGTTTCAGCTGCGGCTCTGGCTGCAAAGGACGCCTTGCAAACAACACTCCCTCCGTCAAGTAAGTTTCATACGTCGCATATTGTGTCATATCTGGATAATTAATTGATTAATGAATAAAAAAAACAAGCAAATTTATTATATAATTGTAAAAAAACCATGTAGTTTCGTTGTATCCATAGATACAATGATAAAATGTTTCTAAAGAAATTACGAAAACAAGGCACCGACTTGATCAGAAGTGAATGCTTGGAGATTATGTAGAGAGTATATATACATCATCTCGATGGTGACCACGACCCCCGAATGTAAAGATCACTACTTATAACTTCGGATATAACGAATGTAGAGGTAACTTCTCACAACTTCGGATATAACGAATGTACAGGTTAATACTTACAACACTGGATATCACGAATGTAGAGGTAACTTCTCATAATTTCGGATATAACGAATGTAGAGGTAACTTCTCGTAACTTCGGATATAACGAATGTACAGGTAAATACTCAGAACACAGGATATCACGAATGTAGAGGTAACTACTCACAACGAGATAACGAAATATGTGATACAATCGAAAGTTTAACATGTGATATACATCCACAAAGAAGTCAGCAGTTTTTGCAATGATGGTAACCAAGAAGCGTATTCGTTTCATCCGGAGCTGTCTCTATTTCAGTGTGCAAGGACAAAATAGACTGTCGGCCTTACAAACAGGATTCTTGTACTCAGTATCCAGGATGGGCAAAGGACAACTGTATGGCGTTCTGCGGTATCTGCAAAGGTAGCGTATTTGTATTTTCTTGGAAATAGAACTAAAACTTAAACATTATACATTCTTTGTGTGTTTCAATCTACCGCCGGTTTGGAAAGAAACATGTTATGATATGCACCTATAGCAACACGCTGGCTTCAACAGAAGTCAAGGGTCATTCGGTACTTTCCTATTTCTTTCGTCTACGAACGAGTAGCAGAACGAACCAGAACAGAACAAAACAGAACTTAATTTCTCTCAGGCTGAAGTCTTCGGCATATGAGATACAATTACATGTACAGTATGTGCAATGTGTGGTGATGCATACGGGAATAACATGAAGATATTACGTCTCCCGCACTGAAAAAAAAGAAAATTTAATTTCATAAAAAAAAATCCGCGCTGTATTGTAGTGTGAGGATATTGTATTAGAGGAAGTAACTCTGTCTACAAATTTGTTCTTTACTTCTTTAATGCCCTCTACTTTTTTACATTCTTTAAATTTGTCAAAACCGATTCAACAAACGCTGCACTGTTTAACGCAATAATGATGAAATGCGGAAACGTTTCGTGCATATCATTAAAAAAAATAAAATTGTCAGTTATATTCTCAAACTTGGATTTGGATTTGGATTTTAAAATAGTTTCTTGGACACACCCGCTCCATCTGAAGCGGTGCAAATAAACAAAAACACACCAAAATAATAACGAAAATGTTGACAGTCACAACTGAGTGCTTCGAATTAAGGTTTTACCTCTAGACACAACGGTTCACAAACGCCCTTCTCACAATTATTATTTTTTCTGTTCTGTATTTTTTACATGGCAAAAAGAGTGAGTGGTTTTACGCCGCTTTTAGCAATATTCCAGCAATATCACGGCGGGGGACACGAGAAATGGGCTTCACATGGTACCCATGTCGGGAATCGAACCCTGAATTTTCGGCGTGACGAGCGAACGCGTTAACCAATGGACTACACGATGGCAAAAAAAGCCTCAAACTACTTACATCTAAATCTAAACTAGTTACTAGTTTATCCAAATCAACCATTTTCATCACGCGTTTCAGGGGCCCCTACACCTCCGCATGTGTGTGCAGACGCAATACCCGGATGTGCAGCATACGACAAAGAAAAAACCTGCAAGGACTCGAAGTTCACCCTGTGGGTGCAGGACAACTGTGCCAAGTATTGTGGTCTTTGCAATGGTAGGATACTTCCACGAAGTCAACTATCTTAATATTTTGTAAAACAAAAAACACAATAAAAAAATAATATGTTGTTTATGTATGTTCTTTAAAAACTGCAAGGTCAGGAATACTGAAAGCATGAAACAAATATATGTTTTACCAGTATGATAAAATGTCACGTTTGCTGCCCAGTATCTATTTTTATTTATGAACTAATTGATAACGATTGAATACCGACTTGAAAAATCTCTTGACGCCACTCAACAATGGTCTAGCTTTATCGCGACGGCCCGTAAACAACCAAGTTTGGATCAGACAAACCGATGATATGATAGTATGAACAACGAGCCTTACTATCCGATCATAGTTATAGGGGCCATATTCTAACCCGGAATTCCCATAACGGATGACGGAAACATGAAATATTTTCAGAAAACATTTTTCTGTTTCTTCATGCTGATTTTTTGTTTAATTCAGATGGAACCGTGACGTCAGGGCCAGGCCCTCTCATTCCAACAGGCCCAATCATGACGTCAGGCCCAGGCCCGATCAAAACAGGCTCTGGCCTTCTTACCCCACCGGGGATTGCTGGTTTTTCCCCTGCTCCAATAGCTGGGAAATAGTGCACTATTCCTTACAAACTATCGCCCAGGAAACTGTGGGCGTTACTGCTTGATTGTATGGAGGAAAGTCAAGGTGATTAAAATCTTTGATCCTCTGATGTCGTTGTGTTAAGTTCGATTCTTTTTGGTTGGAGCACATGAGGCACTTGCATACAATTACATTCCGATATAACTCCATCCTAACACGTCAGCGCTGCACTGTAATATGTGTTTAGATCCCGAACACAAACGTAAACACGTTCCTTGTCATAATGGGGGGGGGGGGGGGGGGGGGGGGGGTCGGGGGGAGATAAAAGAAAATTTAAGCAGCAAAAGTTGATTGACTCAATTTTCCAATGGAAAAGCTGTAGTACATGTACGTGTTATATTATTTATAATAGTGATATTTCAGACAGTCATGTTACTAGTAACTTTCAGGTCTGTTTCGATAGTACTTTATGTAATGTATGCAATACAAAATTTATTATCTAGGAATAGAAAATGGTTTTGCAGAAGGCAGGTTTCAGTTGGTTCTTACACCATTAATCAAAGATATTTCAATAGACGGTACTTATCGCATGCATCACAAAATGTTTTGAATCAAATGATATTTTTCCAGCAAACTTTTCCATGTTATATATATTGACATGATTGTAGACATAAAATGGCCGTACATTTATATTCTTTACTTAGTCTTCTGATGGATGAGAAGGCAAATTAATTATTATGGAAGTCAGAATAGTACTTTTATAATGCCAAATGTTTGTGTGTTTTTTGCTCTCAGTACGTCCACAACAAAACAACCCAGGTCGTTTGTTGTTCTTTGCAGCTTGTGTATTAGCTGGGTACAATGGTCAGTTTACAATGTTGATAATATTAATGGGTTAAATTATTATAATGGATCAAAAGGAACATTTCAAGATAGTATTTCTTAACTGCAGAGGTCTCAATAATGTTTGTAAGAGAAAACAGGTTTTCTGATTCTTAAGGAAGTAAAGAGCTCAAATATTTTTTTGCAAGATGTACGCTTCACAAAGGAACACGAGCAGCTGATACAACGACAGTGGGGTTAAAAAATGCTATATTCGTCCTTTCAAAAGTAATGCCAGAGATACAGCTATTTTATTTAATTATAACTTTGAATTTGAGGTTACGCATACAATGATAGATCAAGAAGAATGAAATAATGTGGCAATTAATATTAAAATACATTATCATGTCTACACATGAATAAATTTCATATCTACAAATTAATAAATCTGTATGGACCGAACTTAGATAAACCAGAATTCGTTAAGAGGATAAAAGATATCATATTATTAATTTATCAAATTATCATTTGTGGTGATTGGAATCAGGTAATGGATATAAATAAGGATACCTATAATTACAAACACATTATAATGCAATGGCTAGTAATGAGCTAACTGGATATATAGATTATTCAGATATATTATGCAGTTTTAAATGTACAAAATTTCATTTCTAGATTTTCTGATTTAAAGGTTAAAGCTGAACAAACAAACTGAATTATGGATAGGATAAAAAAAGAGATCTAGATATAAGCTCTGTGAGGAATGGAATTTTAAGCTTTTGGGAATAGATTATGATAATGATTTAGAAAAGATGGTGGATATTAACTATAAATATAAATTTGATAAAATAGAAAAAGAAATGAATTTACGGTCAGTGAGATCTTTGACATCAATGGGAAGAAATATAGTTATAAAATATATGCTTCTGCCAAAACTGAATCATTTTCCATACCAATCCCTTGGGATAACCAAAAAATTCAAATATACGTCTTGGCTTTGTTTGGAAAGGGAAACATAATAAAGTTATTATGTCACTACCACCCAGATATGGTTAGTGTATCAGTTGTTAAAAATGTTAAAAATGTTATTGTAGCCGTAGACAAATGTATTTCTGTAATCTTCAACTAGCCTTGCACCAAGGCTGTAATGATAGAATTCCATGGGTGTGTAGAAATTCGATCGTGCTAATAGGCAAGTCTAGATATGTGGAAAGTACTCCAGTCTCTAAGAGGGACATCTTGATCTTATTATTTACATAATTTAGAAATTATGATTTATCCAATAAGTATTTCTTTAGAGACTTGTGCAAGTCTATGTTCAACATATGGTTCCTGTTGGTCGTTGACAACAAGTTTGCGACACGGGGCTGGAGATGTGGTATCTGGTTCTCATTCTCCTTGTGTTTCCATTTGTCCAAGTTGACCGTAAGTAACGTTTTATAACAGTATTCTTTATGTAATCTGCTCAAAAGTTGAACATCCGAATCGTTCATTACTATAAGTAATGTCATGGCATATAAAATATAGCAATATGAAAGGATCAAAAGAAATTAAACAACACCCTTTAATTTCCTTTGTGTTGCATATATCGTGATGAAAATCGTTCTCTGTGTAATTAAGTCAGTTCCAGTATTAAACAATGGGCATGTGAGAGAAGTAGCATGGAAACAGATAATTCCTTGTCACGAAATCAAGCAACATGTTTTAATTATCAAAATAGCCAGGTGCACGTCGTGCAATCCTTATCTTGGAAACATGTATTTTTCAACACTGACTTTATCGTTTTGGTCTTTTTTTTATAAGATAGGTACACATTAATAATGGAACCTCTTTAATCTGGAATATACGGATAAATGGACGTCCTGACTTTCAAAAATAAGGAAATACTGTATGCAGACGTAACTGTTCAAGCTCATGTTTCAACTTGTTTATTTGTTGTTTAACGCCGCAAATGAAGAGCTTAGAGCTAAAAGAGGCCAAAATGCACTCTTGCCCTTTTTGCTTATTATTGCATAAATAACATCTATGAGTTCTTGTCTACCTGTAGAAAAAATAGTGCATGTTTTCATTGATGCGTTTTTGAAATATAGCTACTTAAAATTCTATAAAAGGGCCAAAGCCAAGTTTCAAAAGGGCCAAAGCCACTTTGCTAGACTTTAGCCCTTTTAGCTCTCATTTCCGTGTGTGGTTGAGACTGGTTGTCTGAGAGAGATTTTGAAAGTTGGTCACCTTATTCTCATATTTCAACTATTGCAACAAAGTTGGCATTAGTTTAAATCATTTAGATGTACTTCAATAGTATGTGTTTGTACTTTCAGTAGTAGTTTATCAATCTCACATGTTAAATCCCTGCAAATGCATGAGGGTAAAAAAGGGCCAAAATACAGACATTGGCCCTTTCCACCCTTACACAAATTAAAAACGTAAGTTTATTTCCTTTTTTGAATGTTTTTATAACAACATTTATATCTCTGCTGTCAGAATGCGTTAATGTCTAGGAATTTATAGGTGAAAAAAGTTAACATACATGATATTATGTGTTTTCATTACTTTTCTCAAAACAGACTCCACTTGACATTGGCCCTAATGGCTCTAAGCTCTTCAAATAATTGAACCTCTTTAATCTGGAATATACGGATAAATGGACGTCCTGACTTTCAAAAAAAAAGGAAATACTGTATGCAGACGTAACTGTTCAAGCTCATGTTTCAACTTGTTTATTTGTTGTTTAACGCCGCACTCAGCCATGTTCAAGCTAAATGACGGCGGTCTAAATAATCGAGTCTGGACCAGACAATCTAGTTATTGACATCACGAGCATCGATCTACGTAAATGGGATAGCATGACATGCATCAACCAAGTCAGCGAGCCTGACCATCCGATGCCATTAGTCGCCTCTTACGACAAGCATGGGTTGCTGAAGAACTATCCTCACCCGGATCTTCACGGGTTGTATCAAATTGGGATTCTATTATAGAAGTTACTTAAAACCTCTCCGTTTTCACTGGAAATCTTTATTTTAAATTTTGCTGGTGTTTATTGCTGGTGTTTTTGTTGGTGAAAAACTAATCAGAAATTGTTCAAATTCAAATCTTTGCTTGGGGTATTTGTGCGGAATTATAATTTACATAAAAGTTAATATTTTCAGTTTTAGCACGGGGTGTGAGTGAGTGAGTGATCTGGGTTTTAAGCCGTGTGCGTGTGTGTGTTTGTGTGTTTGTGTGTGTGTGTGTGTGTGTGTGTGTGTGTGTGTGTGTGTGTACTAGTCCGGGCTAATGTCGGTTTTATAGTTCTAGCCCTCTGAGATACCATGCAGTGGTACCCCACTAAGACACAGTAAACTGACTCCTATCCGTCTTTTGGCACGATGCCACCGGGGATCGAACCACCGATCATCCTCTCTCTCGACAGGCGCTCTATGCACTCATCCTCGCGAGGCAAGGGAGTTAACTGACTATAAAAGTCCAGTTTCGACCAATGCCGAACTAGGCTGGTATTATGGAGTTACATTTTGGCTGGACTAACGAGTCTATGAATAGTCCAATCAAAATCGCGCAACGAAATCGAAATCAGGTTCGTAAACTTTCGTGCAGATTTCGGTCGATTGCAAAGCATGTGCACCGCCAACTCGTTATCAACAGATATTTTCCGAATCTTTTCATGTTTATAATCAAGGTGCTCGCGTGATGTGATGCACTTCGCGATGTAAGACCCGTTTTATCACAATATAGATCTTGATTATCGATCAGATCGTCTTGACTGAGCGCCGCCATTTTGTTTGAAACAAATGCAAGTGATACGAGAGGTGGAATCTGATTGGTCCATAGGAGAGGCTTAGAACTCGTAATAACAACTGGTGGCGCTACGATCGAGCCCAGGAATTCCAGCCTAGTTCGGCAAGAGTGGAAACTGGACTTTTAAAGTCAGCTAACTGTCTTGCCTCGGGACGATGCTATCCACTAGACCCCATTCATCAGCCGACTCAAACTAGACACGAGTAACGGTTATAGACACCGACACCGTGTGTATTCACGGGTGATGGAGGAACGTGGTCTATTCATGCAAACCTGTGAAGTATATAGCGGACACTCGTTGAGTATGCATGGACTTATTGACGACAAATTACAGGTAGCTAAACCGGACACTCGTTAATCCGTAACAGTTACATTTCAGCATGCACGGACAAGTCGGAGAACTGCGAGAGTTACGGAGAAGCGGTGTGTGACGGACTGTACCAAGCGTGGGCCGTCGAAAACTGCAGGAGAACATGCAACCTGTGTCACGGTCAGTCAGCATATACTGCAACAAACATAAACATTGATGATGATGATGATGATGATGTAATGATGATGATGATGATGATGATGTTCGTCATCTTATTATTATTTTGAGTACTTAAGGCCAGTGAGAAACATACCTAGGGCCATCCTGGGACTCGAACCTGCGACGTGCGATTTATTATATTCTAGATCAGTAAGGTCAAGTTATACTAAGGTCAAGCAGGATTATTCACAGTTATGTGTTTTGTTTATTTGCGATTACAATATTTAGAGGACTATTTCCTCATCCGCATCGTTAAAAAAGCAAAAGCTTCATCGTTCATAACAGATGACTACTTACACGCGGATGGATACCTGTTATGGCTAACGGGTCGTGTCTCTTACAGTTGACGAAAACCGACACGATCTGTAAGAGATGAATTCGGTTAATAATTAACATAACCCACTAGACACTCGGAAGAACGTCATATATGTTACGTTCCGCGTAACATAAAAGTTTCGGGACTGTAAAAATATGCACCTTTATTTCAAGTTAGTGGCGACAGGCGCATAGAACATAACATTACAGAAATAAAATTACTGATAATGTGACTTATACAATTTCATTGCATTCAATATGAATTTCGATAGCTGTACAATAGTAGGTTTATGTTTAGATGACATCAGACGAACAAAGGATTCCAGTGACGGATTTACAAAGTATTTAGGATCAATGAGACAATAGTAGATATCTGATATTGGAGCCCAATTATATACCCTACATTATCTAAATAAAGTAACATGTACGCGTTTGGGGGGAGGCGGTCCTCATGCATTGATGATGTTTCACACCAGAATCAAACACTACGAAGAAGTCAGTTGACATACATTGGATATCGGCCACATTCACCATAAACTATAGCATTAGATGTTTGTGGTCCTATTTGTAAGAAGTTTTTACAAGCCAGTAGGTGGATTATCTCTACACTCTCAAATCTATTGATATACAATCCGTAACTGCCTTCAGCTCGTAAGCTATTCTCTAATTAATTCGGGGGCACGGGTGACCCGGTAGTCTACAGCTGTCTTATTCGTTGTGCATAGTTGCTTACTCCCAAATCAAGCTGACACGCCGTGATATAACTGAAATACTGTTCAGGGCGGCGTTAAACCCAACTCACTCTAATTAATTCACCGATTTATTGTATTATCTTTAACTTATTTTATAAATGAATTTTTGTTAATCCTTTCTTAAATTCATTGTTTTTAAACACACATCAGTATCGCCAAGCGGCACCTCACTATGCAACGACGTGGGCGACGATTGTGTGGATTACGACAAGTCGTCATGCTCGGATCCCAGTTTCGCAGATTGGGCGAAGTACAAATGCCGCTACTATTGTCGTCTCTGTACTGGTACTGCGCTCTTGGAATGATATCTTTGTTTGTTTGTTGCTTAACGCCGCACTCAGCAATATTCCAGCTATATGACGGCGGTCTGTAAATAATCGAGTCTGGACCAAACAATCCAGTGATTGTAATCATCCGCTCGCAATTGGGATACGATGACATGCATCAACAAAGTCAGCGAGCCTGACGTTTCGATCCCGTTAGTCGCGGATTATTTACATACTTCGGGAACTTCTGCTCACAAAAAGCACCCTCCGTGTATCCGCTTGCAAATTGCCAATAATGTGTCATTGAGCATCTGACATTTTAGTTTACAGTTTGCAAACATGGTATCGTGTTTTGCTCAGGATAATGAAACACTTCTCTTATATTAAACTAGTTCAACGAACACGTTATATAATTACATTTGTGTGAAAAATTTCAGCTGATGAGTTGGCTGCAAAAGATTTGGAATCGATCCCGCCAATACGTGAGTATATACGGTTATATTTGACAACCCAAAGGTGGGGTGAAATGGGGTTTGACGTCGCGTCTATACAAAGTGCGCGCGCGTGCGTGCGTGCGTAGCTGCCTTTACTAGTCCGGACTAATGCCGATTATATTGTGCAAGCCAACTGAGGCCATGCCGCATGTTAACATGAATAATGGGGTGTTTTGGTGTTTTGGTTTGGGAGTTAATAATCTCTTCCTGAAAATCCTTGAAAAATTGCTTCTGTTGGAAATAGCAAATTGCAGCGGCCTGGCAACCCATGCTCCTGATCTGCTTCAGTTTGCCGAGACAAAGTGAACTGTCATGACTACGGGGCGCATGCGTGCGATGAAGAATTCGAGGCCTGGTCTAGACTGAACTGTTTGGAATACTGTGGCTACTGTAGAGGTAGGTCACTGCAAATTTATTTGTTTGTTGGATCAGAGCATTCTTGGGGTGAGAAATTGTTTGAGAAAAAATAAGTGAGTGAGTGAGTATGGTTTTACGCCGCTTTTAGCAATATTCCAGCAATATCACGGCAGGGGGACACCAGAAATGGGCTTCACACATTGTACCCATGTCGGGAATCGAACCCGAGTCTTCGGTGTGACGAGCGAACGCTTTAACCACCAGGCTACCCCACTGCCCTGAGAAAGAATAAGGTGTCAGTGTGCTCTTCTTGGTCAATAAAAGCATTTATGAAAACAATTACCAACAACGCTTTTAACAAGACCATACAGCATATTCCCGGAACGATCTTCGTTGTAAAACTGGGGGCATATATATACAGAATCCTGGAAGGGATATTGTCACGTGGTCGTGCATCTTACCTCTGTTTGTACACAATTTTGATTCGGCGATGTCGCATTGTTGCCCTTTGGTTGAATAAAAGAACATTTTATTCAAACACGACAATGCGATAAATGGCTACAATGTCGCGTTGTCGTATTCTATCGCTTTGGTTAACTTTGACACTTTTTGTTTGTTTTTGTAACGCGACAATGCAACGACGCCACGAGTGAGTGAGTGAGTATGGTTTTACGCCGCGTTTAGCAATATCCCAGCAATATCAAGGCGGGGGACACCCCAAATGGGCTTCACACATCGTACCCATGTCGGGAATCGAACCCGGGTCTTCGGCGTGACGATCGAACGCTCTAACCACTAGGCTACCCGACCGCCCCTCGACGCCACGATGACTATTCTTTGATTCAATATATTTACGCCAAGAAACCAAACAGAGACTACCAGGATTTCATCAAGCAGGCAATGGAATCTGGATCTTCCTTCCTGTTCGCGATCACCTGATTTTCAGTGATCCATTCATATAATTTTCACCGCTATTTTGCCTTTTACGCCCAGTGGAATCTGTTTCGGCGGATAATCGAGACTGATTGGCGTTATATATTTACGTTGGATACTGGAAAAGTTATGTCAGAAAGGTATTGACATAATAAAGACCGTTCCATACTGACCATCACAGGTTTTTTGTTGAATTCTCTTCGGGAGATGGGTTTCAATATTTGGGTGTAAAAAACAATGATGGTTGGCTTAAAGGCTGTGGTGACGAGAGGTCAGTGTGTCCAGGGTATGGACATGGTGACCAACACTCAGCTGTGATCTGGTTCACGTCATCTTGCCCTGACACGGATCCTGGTCAATATCTCACTGACCACGTCAGTGACCTGTGCCGGCTAGGTTACCGTAATCTTGTAACTAGTTGTACCTTATGAAACCCATAATTTATAACCCATGTACATTATTAAGATACATATACGACACACTGACTTTGAATGACAAGACAGTTACAAAGGTCAACACTAGAGCAAGAGGTTTGAGTCGGCTTCAAGTCGCATTGGGGTAGTAAGGTGGCTAACGTCCGCTGGTCCCGTCAAAGACATGGGTTCAATTCCCCAAATGATCATCCAGTCTATGTAATAGCAGGATTATGTCAAAAGGCTGCATATGAACGATACTGAATACTCGCTTTTAACAATATTGCAGCAGTATATCAACAAGGGACATATAAACGTGCCAGGCACCATCGTGGGAAACAAAACCCAGGCAATCAACCTGTCAAGGCCATGCTGTGTCCAATAAACTACCCAACCCCCCTTACACAAACGCTTGTTCTGATTTGACTTGGGCAGTGATAACTTGCAGGCATCGCCCATCCACCCCGAGGCTGCAAGGACACCGTGAACAACTGCAAGGACTACGGCCGCAGCCTCTGCAGCAACGACACCTACTCAATTTGGGTCGACGACCACTGTAGAAAGACATGTGGTCGTTGTCAGGACGGTACGTCGGCAGTTTACGTTAGACAAGACAATGTAACAATATTTAAAACTGAAAAGTACCCAGTCTGCTGCCACAGGAAGAATACTGTAATCGAGTCAATACAGATTCATTAAACACAGAGCCAAAAGCATATAGAAGTCATTATGTATTTCTGACAGTTGAATTGTATAATGACGCGATGATATTCTTGGATATCTGACAACAAAAACATGAAGTATTAATGCCTTAACTACATGCGTATACAGTGTTGTTTTTGTAACCTAACAAAAAGATAGCTTGATCCTTGAGATGATCCTTGAACTGATGTCATGCCTCTTAACCAGACTACTATGAACTCTTAATTTGCGAATTTCTACCCTAACTATATCAAGTTAAAATGACTTTAGACTTCTATCACAATATCAGTTTTATTGGAACGTTCATCTGTAACCATGCTCTATATCTCGCATTTTGGTAAACCTACATTAACTCCTGGACCTATTCTAAAGGTTTTCGCGATTTTAAATTACCTGCCCTTGAATTTCATTAACATTTTACCGACCAATCAAACGTGGAGATAAGGAAAAATAAAATTGGTAAGGGAGGTAACTCGTACTGCATCGAAATCAAAGGCACCGCCAGCTTTTATGGAAACTTTTTAAGACATCCATTCCGTCAAAAAATATATCCGAGGGCTTTGTTTTGCGTGTTAGTCAGTCTTTCAACTTTGAATTTCCAGCAAACTCTATGGTAGTCAGTGGCTGGTCGCTATGTTGTTGAAATTGCCAACCCATCATTGAGGCTGGTTTGTAACTCGCATGCTGATTGGTCCGTTAGACCCAGTAACGTAGCCAATCAAATTGGCCTAAGGAAATCAAGGGCAGGTAATTAAAGATCGCGGAAACTTTGTGAATGGGTCTTGGGGTTAGTGTAGGTTTATCGAAAAGCGAGTCCTGGAGATATAGGGGTGATCCGTAACAAACGAAAAGTGATCTGGGATTTAAATATCATAAATGCAGTTCAATTACGTGTACACGTGTATATGTGCTTTTCAGTTGACGACAACGTGCTGCCTTCTGTACAATCATCTGCAGAGTCCATTCGAGGACCAGCGGTCATCCAAGACTGACCATTCACGCGACCATGCCCACGTGTTGTTTCAGGAGCTAGGAATTAACAGTAAAAGATCCAATGACCACTGAATGCTCGCATTTTCGTGCTATGTCATCAACCAATTCTTGATGATTCCAAGCTTCGATTACACATCAATTCATTTTCTCAGCACCGTCGAAAAGAGTTGTCATTGTTTTATTGTCAACAATTCAATTAAACGCATCTGTGACGTCATTCTTTTGTTTCAGCCCTCCATTATTTTTCAGGAATGGAGTGGTTGTCAATTATACATTCTTGAAACAATTTTTTAACTATTTTGACTAGTGAAGAATGTCAAATTTGGTCGGAATTTGGTCGGAAAAACGTCTGAGACCTGCCTCACTTCGGGCTTTCCTCCCACATTAAGCTGACATGCCGCGATATAACTGTAATACTGTTAAAAGCGGCGTTAAACCCATCTCACTCACTCACTCGATCAACGGTTGAACCCTAACCTGCGCTCAGGTCATGACGGACGTTACGTAATCGTGTTGGCAGGCACTGACCATATTCTTCACATATCTATATTTGGCACCAGTAAAGAAGGCAGTCTTTGAGTTGGCTCAATACACTCCCTGTATTTGAACAGTGACAGCAAATGAATGGTGTCTATGTTTACGACCTACATAGATAGCTGTATATCTCTCCCACGCCTCCCACACACTGTACCCACCTCCAGCTCATCACGTTGTGACCCCAGGTCTACAGTTTAGTCAGGAACACGGTACATTATAGATAGTCGAACGGTATTAGTGCAACATTCAAGCGCTGTTATCCTAATGTTTCTTTTATATATATATATATTAAACCCAACTCACTCACTCCCATGTATGTATGTATGTATGTATGTATGTATGTATGTATGTATGTATGTATAACAAAATATAAGTATAACAAAATATAAGTATAACAAAATACATTAAATATATCGCATTTTCATAAAAAAAAATAGTGAGGGAGTGAGTGAGTTGGGTTTAACGCCGCTTTGAACAATATTCCAGTTGTATCGCGGCGTGCAGGTTATTGTGGGAGGAAAGCCCGAAGTGATGTAGGTCTCAGACGTTTACCACCGTGGTGGAACCGACGGGTAGGGTGCGGTCAAACCCAGAAAAATAACCGGGCGAACAGAGATTCGAACCCAGTTATGGAAATGCTACAAAATGGGGAAATAATGGATGATAATCAATGGGGAAAACATCCCAAACAAATCCTTTCTTAGTGTACGTGATGACGATTTCAGTCGAAAACAAAATGAGTGCGTCGGGTTAGCTTAATGGTTAAAGCGCCGACCCTTCGCACCAAAAGTCTGGGTTCGAAACCCTCATGCATACCCTGTGTGAAGTCTGTGTCGGGTCTACCCTGCCGTAATATGGTTGGAATAATGCTAAAAGCGGTGTAAAACGAAACTCATACCCTTACAAATTCCAACTGTTTCTTGAGAAATTCAGTGTTGTGTAGGGGCGGTCGGGTAGCCTAGTGGTTAAAGCGTTCGCTCGTCACACCGAAGACCCGGGTTCGATTCCCGACATGGGTACAATGTGTGAAGCCCATTTCTGGTGTCCCCCTGCCGTGATATTGCTGGAATATTGCTAAAAGCGGCGTTCACTGTTCAATTTTCTCTTAGTATGGTTCATATACCACCCGGAAGAGTGACGACACAGCACGACCCTACACAACACCTCGCTGTGCAGAGTTGCGTCCCTTGGGCACGCCAGAAACCTATGATTGTGGGTTCGAGTCCCGGTTCACCCCAATTATGTTTCTAGGTTTGTCAGCACCATACCCGTGCTCGTGCGTTTCACCTAAGTGGTAAACGTCTGAGACCTGCATCACTTCGGGCTTTCCTCCCACATTAAGCTGACACGCCGTGATATAACTGGAATACTGTTAAAAGCGGCGTTAAACCCAACTCACTCCTGACCAAGGGGGGAGCGACGACACTCACATATGATATCCCATCTTCAAACAGGTCAGGGTGTTAAATGCCATATGGCTTTCCAGAACAATAAACTATTTATATGCCATTGCTCAGGACATGCTTTACCCTTTTCGCGAACACCTGGTGTCATCGCGAATTTTAAGTGATCGATTCATATAATCATCACTGCTATTTTGCCTTACGGCCATTTGAATCTGATGATCGAGACTGGTTATTGTCTGGCCTTGACGTTTCATATTCACCATATTAGGAATTTGGACCTATACATCACAAATGAAGTTAAGGAACACTCGATGTTTTAACATGACTATGGATAATCTAACATGGCTGGTGAGTATTGCAACACAGTCTTCTGGTTGCGGATGGTAATTAACTTGTTTTAAGTAGTATATTTTCAGTATTAATGACTCAGTTAATCATTCACTCAATCGAACAAATTGAAAACAAAGAAACACCACTGACCTATATATCGTTATTTAAAAAAAAGTCTTATCTGTGTGTGCCTAGCGACATATGGTCATCGAATCACATGTGACCCTTCCTGTAAATGTGATCTTTCTGACCAAGTCAGCCGCAGGTCACGGGATGAATTTGTCTGCGCTCCTCGTTGTCGCGGTTGTCGGGCGTGCCTCGGCACAGTTCCAGCTATTCTTCAACACCCCCGGGATCCCCACATTACAACCCGTGGGTCCAACACTGGCCCCTGTCGGCCCCGGGGGATTCGACCCGAGTAAGTATAGGCAGGACATATGAAACGAACTTTTCCCTATGGTGAAATGCATGTGTTTAAAAAAGTGCTGTCTGGAGAGGTTTGTTCAGAAATATTAGTGCTTTGTTCAGGAATATTATTGCCGATATATTTGTAACACCAACAAAATAACTCATGAATGGAATAAATAGTGAATAAAATGTCTCCCGTCATAAATTAAACATTTCACGTACTTCCTTTGATATATACTACAGTTAAACAACTATTTGAGTGTTTCTATTTTCACAAGTATCGAAACAACAAGTAAAAAAGTGAACCTATTTCAGGTCAAATATTATTGACAACAAAAGCCAAATGCTCTATGTACTGGGTGTATTCTTGCTGATCTAGCATGTTTTAATTTGAAAATCACAGAGTCAATTAGGCAGGCGTATAGTAGTTCCGACAAGAAGTGAAATACACAACATCGAGTTTATATTGTCACAGTGTTAATTTAGAACTTTAAAAACATAAATCCAAAAGACGTTAAAAGATGGTACTTGTTGTTACCCTGTCTAGCGTTCGGAACTAAGGGGCTAAAACAAGGACTGGTCGGCTCGGAGTCAGTATACTGTGTCTGAGTGGGGTATTCATGTTAAACTGAGGCATGGTATCTCAGTGAGCTAGCACTATAAATCGGCATCAGTCCGGACTAGTACAAGCAGCCACAGGTCATTCACAGGGAATTGACTAGACAACCACGATAAATGCATAGACATACATGTATATATACAATCGAACACCACGACTGAAATTACATTTGTGTTTGTTGTTAAACGTCGCACTCACAAATATTCCAGCTATATGGCGGCTGTCTGTAAATAATCGTGTCTGGACCAGACAATCCAGTGATCGATATTTGTGAGCAACGACCCTCGTCGTCGGGGGAAGAGGACACGCTATCAACCACATCTTCCCGAGGCAAGGGAGTTAACTGGAATCCAGTTTCCACCCTTGCCGAACTTAGCTGGAAAATATAGAGTTATATTTTGGCTGCACTAACGAGTCTCGTCATAGTCCAATCAAATTCGCGTAACGAAATCGACATCCGGTTCGTAAACTGCCGTGAAGATTTGGTCGATTGCAGGTTTTATAAAACATGTGCACCGTCAACCTGCCGTCAACAGTTATTTTCCAAATATTTTCGTGTTCTTAAGCAAGGTGCTTACGTGATTTGATGCACTTCGCGAAACAAGACCCCTTTTATTACAATACTGATCTTGATAATCGATCAGATCGTCTTGACTGGGCGCCGCCATTTGATTCAATTACAAGTGATATGAGAGGTGGAATCTGATTTGTCAATAGGAGGGACATAGAAGGTACATAACTCTTAATATCCCAGACATTCCAGACTAGTTCGGCAAAAGTGGAAAATGGACTTTTACAGTCAGTTAATTTCCTTGCCTAGGGAAGATGCATGAACCAAGTCACCGAACATGACCACTCTATTCATTTGGTCGCCTCTTCTAGCCTTGGATCCCCACGGATGACTGAAATTACAATCTGCCATACTAATGAATCTTCAAGCTAATACGTTTACAAATGTAAGAGGGGGTTCGTGAGTTCATTGAACGTGACACGCATATGGTTTATACATTGTGTATCTGTGATTATACGAAGTACATTGTAAGTCATTTACTGTGAAAGGTTGCGTCTCTTATCCGTGACAGGATCCGCTGTTCATGGGTTGAAGAAGGAGGAAAACCTAAGATGACGAAACTTGGAGAGGTTGACCTTTTGATGAAATCCACGAGCACAGGTCTGTTGCTGACAGACCGTCAACACTTCAAACCCATGATCAGCGGATTATGCCATTATGACAATGTGAAGTGCTAATAACAAACCCGAAAGATGTTTGTTTCTTTATTTACAAGTAAATAAAGCTGTGAAGTGAGTATTGTCGACTTAATTAATTATAAGAATCGACATCGATATAATTTTATTTTACGGAGGCACTCGTATAAACCGGTGTGCACACTGCGTTAATTAACCCACTACAGTAAACTACGGTTATAACGAACTCAAAGGGACCACTAATTTTAGTTCGTTTTAACCGTAGTTTTGTTATAAGCATATTTGCAGCATATATACAACAAATGGGCGGGACTAAAAAATAAATTCGTTATATCGGTCGGTTCGTTATAAGCGTGTTCGTTATAACCGTAGTTTACTGTACGTGGATTCGCAGTGTCCTCGCCGGTGTTGACATTTAAACCTCCATAAACGCAAAACTGTTGAAGTCGATTCATAACATAAAATATCTACATCGTAAAGCCTACGACAAATATCATATTAAATCTAGCCTAAAAGACATTTTAATGTGCGATTCTGACTGTGTTCATAAATCACTATAAAATAAATAAAACTATTACTCATTTTTCTATAGAAATTCTTCACCATATATACTCACACAATGTATGAGTTGTAGTAAAACAACTATGAAAAATGCACAAACCTGAATATGATTCTTGTATATGATAATCGATAAAGACTAGCTGTTACTATAAACTATAAACCGCATGATACCTTCTCACATCGGGGGCACGGGTGGCCCAGTCGTCTAAGGCGCCGCGATTCGCTGTGCAGAGTTGCGTCCCTTGGACACGCCAGAAACATATGATTGTGGGTGCGAATCCCAGTTCGCCCCAAAAATATATCTAGGTTTGTCAACACCATACCTGTGCTCGTGTGCTGTGCTATTACTGAAATACTGTTAAAAGCGGAGTTAAACTCAACTCTCACACACACATACACACACACACACCTTCTCACATCAGACAATTCATATACCCTTTTCTCAGATACTTCAAAATATGATCATGAATTGTGTTTTAGCCAAGATTTTGTGTGAAGAAAACACAACGTATATATATAATTTTGTACGTTGTACATGTGGCCTGAATGCTAAAAACCTGTTTTTTGTTTTAAAAATGTAGCCATAATGTACTGTTATTTCCACAGATTGCAAAGACAAACTGGACAACTGTAAGCTGTTCGGTGCGGATTCGTGTAAAGCTCCCTATGATGGCTGGGCTAAAGAAAACTGTGCCAATTTCTGCAAGTATTGTCAAGGCAAGTTTACAAGCCTCCTTGATACCTTGGAAGCTCGTCTTTACTAAATGTTGTGTACACCCTTTTAGTTCACGGATTTTTGGCCCACAAATTCAGGTCAGCATGTCGGGAAAAATAATTCCAATTTCAAAAATCGATTTTGGTTTCCTCAAAATGTTGAAATGTGTGGGCGGGAATTTTGAGGATAATTATTTGCAGGTTTCGATGAAAGTATTTAATAATCTATTTATATTGTTAGGGAGAGTAAATGAGTTTTTTAAAAACATTTAATTTATTTCTAATCGGCGGCATAGAAAACACACTGCTCTTTTTTATTCAATTTTTTTAGTTTGTTGTTTCGTAATTTAAACCAAGTTTGATAACATCTGGCCTCAGTGATATATACTACAGTAAAGTCTCTTTCGTACTGTGATTAATGGAGGTAGGAGTAATGCCCCTTTGTAGTCATTCTGGCTGGATCTGGTTAAAAGAGGTTCCACGTCATGGGTAACTGTATCCCGATACTTAAAGACAGTCATCGAGTCATACGTAAAGGCTGGAAGACCTCAAGTCACAGGTGACCTTGATATGCCACAATGGAATAATCTTCATACATCACTACCTTGAATGAACGGATCTGGCGTGTTATTCAAATTAGCATTTTAGTGGGTATTTGTTACGTAAAGCCGTCATGAATGCCGTTCTTGAAATTCGTGGCCGATGGCTATGTTTTAACCATTTAAGCAATTGTGGTCTCCGGAATGGAAAATACAATTCTATGAAAAATGAACCTTTGCCAACATACAAAGATGAAGCCAGGTACTGCCAAAAAGAGTGAGCCTTTCACTATCTCTATCACATCACGCCGGGTTCTAGCCGGCTGTCCCATCGCTCTTAATAAAGGTAGATCCGGGGTAGAATAGGTCTGCAGCAACCCACGCTTGCCGTAAAAGGCGACTATGCTTATCGTAAGAGGCGACTAACGGGATCGGGTGGTCAGGCTCGCTGACTTGGTTGATGCATGTCATCGATCCCATGATTGCGTGGATCGATGACCATGATATCAATCACCGGATTGTCTTGTCCTGACACGATTATTTACAGACCGCCGTGAATAGCTGGAATATTGCTGAGAGCGTGTTAAACCACAAACATACATAATATAGGTAGAAGTCGCTACTAGTTATAGCCAAACAATTTCCAAAACTGTCCGGGTCCAGGTATGTATCTCAAATAACTTTAAAAGGAGACATTTCCATATTGGACAATCAGTGATATAAAGTATTCACTATACCAGCTGTGGAAAATGCCATTTATATATCCTGGTTACCACTGAAGGCAGCATACGAACCAAACAATCGAACGATGGATACATCGAAGAGTAGATTCCATGTTTGGTCAACAGGATATTGATTAATCTTTCTCCCCACAGGACCGACACAGGCCCCTCCCCCGTGCAAAGACGTCCTGCCAAACTGTGACCAGTATGATGCAAAGTCCTGCACGGACCCATCGTTCAAGCACTGGGCAGAGGACAATTGTCGGTACTACTGCAGACTCTGTTCTCGTAAGTAAATACGCTGATAAAGGGACGGCCATATTCCAGAGGACGGGGACTTTGTTTCTGTATCAATTTATAGTACATTTTCTTATCTGAAAGGTGCAGCCAAACGCAATGTCTTTTAACCACAACTCGTTTTTTAATCAGAGCTTGAAAACATACATTTTCCTATCTGAAAGGTGCAGCCAAATGCACCTTTTAGCCACAACACGTTTCTAATCAGAGTTTTAAAACATACATTTTCCTATCTGAAAGGTGCAGCCAAATGCACCTTTTAGCCACATCACGTTTTAAATCAGAGTTTTAAAACATACATTTTCCAATCTGAAAGGTGCAGCCAAATGCACCTTTTAACCACAACACGTTACTAATCAGAGTTTTAAAAAATACATTTTCCTATCTGAAAGTTGCAGTCAAATGCACCTTTTAACCACAACACGTTTCTAATCAGAGTTTTAAAACATACATTTTCCTATCTGAAAGGTGCAGTCAAATGCATCTTTTAAACAAAACACGTTTTTAATCAGAGCTTTAAAACATACATTTTCCTATCTGAAAGGTGCAGCCAAATGCACCTTTTAGCCACAACACGTTTTTAATCAGAGCTTAAAAACATACATTTTCCTATCTGAAAGGTGCAGCCAAATGCACCTTTTAACCACAACACATTTCTAATCAGAGCTTGAAAACATACATTTTCCTATCTGAAAGGTGCAGCCAAATGCAACTTTTAGCCACAGCACGTTTTTAATGTACACCCAATCCCTACCGGTAAACGACATTAATAAACACATACCCTGGTCGCGTTGCATGCAGAATCAGATTCAGATTCAATTTTGTGTTTAATACCTGTGATCATTTTGTTATGCAGCGTCCGAACTGAGCATGGTGGATTCAATGACAACTCCGATACCTGCTTCATGTAAGTCAATGTTGTCGCGTGTAACTCAACGTGCGTGAGTTGTGAGTGTTTAAATGCATGTAATAGTGGCGGTTGTCATTTGTTACGAAATGTTGTGTCAACACTAAGATTTTGTTTGTTTGTGTGTTGTTTAACGCCGCACTCCAGCTTTATGACGTCGGACGGTGAATAATCGAGTCTGGACCAGACAATCCAGTGATTGACATCATACTCATGAGCATCAATCTACGCAGTCTCGAGGCAAGCGTGTCCACTAGCCTGTATCAAAGCCTGGTGGAAACAAGACTTTTATGAAAAGGCTAGTGGACGCTCTTGCCTCGCGAAGGCGAATTGGGATACGATGACATGCATCACCCAAGTCAGCGAGCCTGACCACCTGATTCCATTAGTCGCTTCTTGTGACAAGTATGGGTTGTTCATTACGAAGATCTATTCTAACCCGGATCTTCACGGGACGTCTGTAAAGGACCTTTATGACTAGCCGGACCAATTTTTCTAATCAATATTTAAAAATCTCGCAACGTTTTCATAAATATTATTTTATTATATATAATGATAAACAGCGACTAAAATACGCTATCTGCGAGTCTCTGATTTAAACAAGCCGACAGCATGCCGAAAGCGAAGTGACCAATCCATAATGGCGGATATCGTAGCCCGTACATTAAAATGTTGCATTGGTAAACGGAAACGAAATTGACATTGAATAAATCATGCAAGTGCCTTTTCTGTACAGGCAGTTACATTTCTAAATGAACATCCTGTACATGTGTTTGCTTTCAGATTCGAAGTTTGAAAGTAAACATATTAGGTCATTCTTCCAGCAATATTCATGTAAAGTTTGGTTGTCCTTTTATAACATGTGTTTCCAAACAAAGTAGATTGTATTAAATGAAGATATGTCAAACTTTTCTTCTTTTTCTCTTATGCTATTTGTTGCTTTTAATATGATATTTATTGCCATTTTTTTAACAAATATTTTGTACAAAACAAAAATTAAAATGTCATGAGATATTTTAGCACATGTATAAAGGGGGAATGGCACTGTACTGCAGCGAAAGCGAATTATTCCTATATGAGTAAACACTATTTGTATTGTAACAATCATTATATTTTCGCGATTTTCGGAAATCCACCAAGGTGAAAGAATTGTTATATGTGTAACTTCTGCCGTAAGTCTAAAAAGTAAAATGTTTCTGGGGCATCAACGCGTCAGTCCTTAATTCTTATCGACGTCTTAAACAAAATATTTTAATTGTTTTTCGATACTGTCGCCCAAATCCAGTTAAATGATGAAAATAATTTTTTTTTGAAAATCATAAGAAAAAACCGCAAGTCTGTCCAGTGGAGTGCAGTGGATTTTATATCTTCTGTGTTGTTTCAACATATTTTTATTTAAATTGTGCACAACTTATTTCAACTTGGGTATATAACTTTCATTAACACTAAGAGCAAAATAAAGTAACTGTTGTTCTTCTCAGACATGTGTTCGCTGCTACACAAATTGTTTTAACAAATCAAACAGAAAAGTAACTTTACCAATGCATGAATTACTGATATCAGTATATGTGTAGTTTTATTTGTGATTATTGATTATTGATTATTCGTCTTCGTGGCACAGCCATTTTGACGAGACCCTTTACTTCTCCGAATTCTCGTCACCGACCATTTAAAAAAATACTTCAACCTTTGTAAAAAAAAAAAGTTCACACAAATGTATTGAAACTGTATGTGGATATCTTCAACATAATGGGGCGTATTTTGTAAGGGGACAATGGAAAGTCAGAGGATCAAATTTAATATATGACCTGAAAGGAATTTATGATATGTAACTTACTTCAATCATTGCATTTGAATATTTAAGCCAGTAATTCAGAAAATATGTGTCAATCAGTTCTTAAACGTGTTCAAAACATCGTATCTTTGATGCAGTTTTTGTTTACATTTAAAGATGTAGACTATATAGGTGAACTACAGTAGAATGCTACCCGTATCGCCGCTAGTTCCGAGGACTATGTATATTTCAGTATGTAAAGACAAGCTTGACTGCCGTCTGTATGGTAAAGACTTGTGTACCAACCCAAAGTATATCCACTGGGCCAAGGAAAGCTGCCCAGCATTTTGCGGCATATGTACTGGTGAGATTATGATCATTATGTTTGTGTCGATTGTAATATTTGTCGTAACAATACCAGTGATGATGGTGATTTTAATGTATGTAACATGTATTCGGTTATTGTTGCAATAACATCGAGGATTATGATGGTAATCGTGATGTTGATTCATTTAGAAGACGAAGATGATAAAATGTATTTACTCGTCATTACACTAGTATTGATAAGGATGAGTGTGAAAATGAAAATTGTGACACCTGATGTCGATTGTGACATTCATTATGTTGCTTACATTTATGGCGATACCATTAATGATGATGTTGAGACTAAAATTGATAGAGACGACAAATATATATATTGACGACGACGACGACGATGATGATGATGATGATGATGAATCCGACGACGATGACCATGATGATGATGTCGACGAATACGACGATGCCGATTATGTTTGTGATGACGAATACGACGACAAAGATGATGATGATGATGATGATGATGATGATGATGATGACGACGATGATGACGATGATGATGATTCAGGTGTCGCAACCCCACCACCGACTTGCGCTGACAAATCCCCCGACTGCGCGAGGTACCAAAAGTCGACGTGTACCAACCCCGCCTACACAATCTGGGTAGAGGACAACTGCATGAAGTATTGCGGGAAGTGCGGCGGGGGTAAGATACAGAAACATGCACTTTAAAGAACAAATACGCGGAGCCACAACAAATTGCGTTTTTTTGGTCAATATAAGAGCGTCAGTTAAAATAATAAAACTGTTTATTCTCTTTGTTGTGGTTATTTTATAATGCATCTCAAATGATTACATTAAGGCCAAGTTGAATTATGTTCTCCGTTGCGGTAAACTTTGCAATATTATGAACCACAAAGAATATCCATGTGTTCATGACAATTTGGCGTGGCTACGTATAGCGATATCAAGACGTTATTGAAAGAAGAGATGACCCAAAGTCTCCACTCACTCACTCACTCACTCTCACTTAGAATTAGCTGGTGTGGCTACGTTTAGTCATATCAAGTCGTTGGTTTGGCCCAAGGTAGTCATGTCAAATAGTTGGTTTAGCTCCACTAAATCGCAACAAGCAGTTGGCTTGGCCCCACTTGGTCATAACAAGCAGTTGGTTTAGCTCCAAGTAGTCACGTCAAGCAGTTGGTTTGGTCCCACGTGGTCATGACAAGCAGTTGGTTTGGTCCCACTTGGTCATGACAGCAGTTGGTTTGGTCCCACTCGGTCATGACAAGCAGTTGGTTTGGTCCCACTTGGTCATGACAAGCAGTTGGTTTGGCCCCACTTGGTCATGACAAGCAGTTGGTTTGGTCCCACGTGGTCATGACAAGCAGTTGGTTTGGTCCCACTTGGTCATGACAAGCAGTTGGTTTGGTCCCACTTGGTCATGACAAGCAGTTGGTTTGGTCCCACGTGGTCATGACAAGCAGTTGGTTTGGTCCCACTTGGTCATGACAGCAGTTGGTTTGGTCCAAATTGGTCATGACAAGCAGTTGGTTTGGTCCCACTTGGTCATGACAAGCAGTTGGTTTGGTCCCACTTGGTCATGACAAGCAGTTGGTTCGGTCCCACTTGGTCATGACAAGCAGTTGGTTTGGCCCCACTTGGTCATGACAAGCAGTTGGTTTGGTCCCCCTTGGTCATGACAAGCAGTTGGTTTGGTCCCACTTGGTCATGACAGCAGTTGGTTTGGTCCAAATTGGTCATGACAAGCAGTTGGTTTGGTCCCACGTGGTCATAACAAGCAGTTGGTTTAGCTCCACGTAGTCACGTCAAGCAGTTGGCTTGGTCCAACTTGGTCATGACAAGCAGTTGGTTTGGTCCCACGTGGTCATGACAAGCAGTTGGTTTAGCTCCACGTAGTCACGTCAAGCAGTTGGTTTGGCCCCACTTGGTCATGACAAGCAGTTGGTTTGGCTCCACGTAGTCATGACAACCAGTTGGTTTAGCTCCACGTAGTCACGTCAAGCAGTTGGTTTGGCCCTACTTGGTCATGACAAGCAGTTGGTTTGGCTCCACGTAGTCATGGCACTTCGTTGGTTTGGCTCCACGTAGTCATGACAAGCAGTGGATTTCGCTTTGTCCCCACAAGATGCTGGTGTGCCTTCAATACCGGAGGCTTCAAATCAGCGATAACTCAAATTCTCCACTCACTCACTCACTCACTCACTGACGTATTATCCAGGAGGTGCGCCTGTCATGCAGCCTGTGAACACTGGCCTAACACCGAAACCAAACTTCCCCGTTCCCCCGATGAGAGGGAAATAAAGGTAGGTCGACGCTTTTTGCTCGAGGATAGACTAAAGTGTCATCGCACGTGAACACATACCCGTCAGATAGCAGTTTGACTATAAGCCTCTGTCATCTCCATGCAGTGAACATGGTATTTCATGGCTTACTACTTCTTTATGCTGTCACGATGCAACGTTTCGGTAGAGATACCTTCACCGTTGTCAAGCAAGATTGAGGTAGGACAGTACAGTACAGGCAGTGAACATGGCCATTAGATTGAGCATTTCTTCTACCTTATTCAAACCTGCGCAACTGTAAGACTGGTACGTTCTTGACTAGGCCGATGTGTCATTTCTCACAATTTAATTTCAAGTTCAGAATAAAGGTATTATGATTGTTATTAATACTAGAATAGGATATGAAGTTTTTGTTAATTCAACAAATTTGTGAATACATATTTTTTATAATTAACATATTTCCCAGAGTAAAAGGCTAATTACTCATCACTCATTGATGAGTCACCCGTCGATTCAGCAACACGTAACTAACAGGCGACTAACAGGCGACTAACAGGCGACTAACAGGCGACTAACGGGAGACTAACAGGCGACTAACAGGCGACTAACGGGCGACTAACAGGCGACTAACAGGCGACTAACGGGCGACTAACGGGCGACTAACAGGCGACTAACAGGCGACTAACGGGCGACTAACAGGCGACTAACAGGCGACTAACAGGCGACTAACGGGCGACTAACGGGCGACTAACAGGCGACTAACCGGCGACTAACAGGCGACTAACAGGCGACTAACGGGCGACTAACGGGCGACTAACAGGCGACTAACAGGCGACTAACGGGCGACTAACGGGAACGGGTGGTCAGGTTCGGTGTCTTGGTTGAATTATGTAATCGTATCCCAATCGCCTAGAACGATTCTCATGATATAAATCACTGGTCTGGCCCAGACTCAATTATTTACAGAATTCTTTCACATAGTTGGCATGTCGCTGAGAGAGGTGTTAAACATTTTTGGTAATAACTCACTTCAAAACGGCACGATGCCGTTCGGGAGTTTAGATGTTTTAATGTCGCGGTCAGACACAGGTGGAAATGTTAAATCAAATTAATGATACATTTCATATGAACTTTCTGTTTCAATTCAAATTAAACAAACTCGCATACTGCTTGTACCACTCTCCCATACGTTCGTTAAGGATACGCATATCGTTGTGAGGACCTGCTATTAAAACAACTTCAGCGAAATCCATTGTTACATATAAATATACCGTAATCTATCTAAAAAAGCGTTTCATACATATGAAGCGCACGTAAAATCTGCTAATTGTGCTCATATTCCCAGTTGACACCACTCGGCTCATTTCGCGCAAATAGTAACAGACAGGCATACTAAATAGTAGCAGACAGATACTAAATAGTAGCAGACAGACATACTAAATAGTAGCAGACAAACATACTAAATAGTAGCAGACAGACATACTAAATAGTAGCAGTTAGACATACTAAATAGTAGTAGCAGACAGACATACTAAATAATAGCAGACATACATACTAAATAGTAGCAGCCAGACATACTAAATAGTAGCAGACAGACATACTAAATAGTAGCAGACAGACCTACTAAATAATAACACACAGGCATACTAAATAGTAGCAGACAGACATACTAAATAGTAGCAGACAGACATACTAAAAATGCTCTTTTTAGAATTGTGAAACCTTTAACCCGTTGCTGAATCATCTTTCGCTCACAAACATAATCATTTTACATGTGCTTTAGAAATACACACTGATTGTCATAAGAATGATGAAACATCGAGATGGAAGAGAGAGGTGTTGTATTTTTCACGTTACAATTCGTGTACAACTTGTAGGTGATAAGAGAACCTAAGAAATATAAACAAAATGTTTCACCCTGTTTTATGTCACCTTCATAAAAGCAACAAGAAGGGCAGTTAATATTTCGCAATATGTGGTTACCAAACAAATCTCCATTTCATGCCGCGCTCGCTGTTAGGTTCTAAAAAAATGACTGATTGACCCACAACAGTGCCATTACTGGGAAAATTAACAATCCCTCCACCCCCACCCAAACACACACCTACTTACCCCCATCCCACCTTACCAAGCACAAGACAACTGCAGCCGTACTTAAAGGCACATATTAAAGTATGTAATGGTCAATGATGCCATCATGCTCAGAACAAGAACTGTTATTTCCAGTCACTCATTTGTAGTTTGGTTCCAATAACATAAAAATACATGTCACCACTGCGTCATGCACGTGTCTGCATCTCCAATGCTTCCTTCGCCACCACACGCATCAGTACAGATGTTTATTGTGCCAAGGTGTTCTCTGACAACTGTTTCCAGATGCACATGTGATAGATGATGTTTATGTTCCTTCCAGCTGCTGGTGGTGGTTTCACTGAAGAAGAGAGAGGACATTGACCTTTCAACATGATAGAACTACCTTAGGGTATTCAAACATACATTGTTTTCGGAATTTCTGCCAATAAGGCAACGGACATCTTCTATATCTCCGGGGCTCGCATTACTGTAAACCTACACTAACCCCTTGATCCATCCCCCTGGTTCTTGCGATCACAGATTATATTAATTAACTGCCCTTGGTTTTCATGAACATTTTACCGATCGATCAAACATCGAGACAAGGGGGGAAAATTGGTGAGGGACTAAGTGTGAAGACATCCTTTTGTTCCAAAAACATTGAGGACTTTCTTTCGCGCATCTGTAAGTTTTTTCAATGGTAAATTTCTCACAAACTCGTAATCAATGGGATTGGCCGCCATGTTGTGATATGCTCAACCCAACATTGAGGCTGGTTTGTGACTCGAATTTTGATTGGTCCGTTAGGCTGAGTAGCGTAGCCAATCAAATTGGCTAATGGAAATCAAGGGCAGGTAATTTGAGATCGCGAGTACCACGGGAATGGATCCAGGGGTTAGTGCAGGTGCACCGAAATGTAAGCCCTGGAGGATGGAGACGGGTGACTCGTGAGCAGTTGTGATTGCATTGAATACTTTCATTCATCCATGTACGGGTTATATGTCAATAAATTGTATTAGTTGCAGGCTTATCAGGAGGGAAATACGGTCTGACGTACCTTCTGTGTCCGTGTCGACAGGTGATGAGTTCACGGACACACAGAGGACACATCTAACCGTTTCCACGAGGGATAAGCCTACAACGAATCCATTGTACCTATATGTTATGGTTGTGTTATGATTTCTTCATCAGAATGCGATGCGAAGCCGTTGTTTGCAATCCCATTACAATCAGATCTTGGTCCTCGGTACCGTTTGCCAGAGACCGGTGGACATCCATTTACTGAACAACCTTTCATCCGACCAATCAGAGCGTGGCTTAGGAGGTCGCGAATATGTTTCCTAATCATACAACCTCGTCAAGCTTCACACGGCAAGTTCCGAACGACAGTTATGATGACTCGAATATTTTGTTTGTTTGATTTTGTTTGTTTTTTTGTTTAAAGCCGCATTCAGCAATATTCCAGCTATATGACGGCTGTCAGTAAATAATCGAGTCTGGACCAGACAATGCAGTGATTGACTCCATGAGCATCGATCCACGCACTTTGGATACGATGACCAAGTCAGCGTGCCTGACCACCCGATCCCGTTAGTCGCCTTCACGAAAGGTCGTTGAGACATGACCCGTAATGAGATGTCCTCAAATCTTTGTGTAGAGGCAGCAAGCACCAATATCTAAATTTAAAGACATTTTGTCGCCACATTGCAAAGCGATCTCCAGACACAACTTGGTTATGTTTCGGCTCTCTGCATCGCGTACATCTAAAGTCAGTGTTAATAACCATTAGGCGACACCGTGTCCCTTATAAGGAACTTGAACTGCAGTGATTACCAATCAGCGAAATATCTGTTGCCATGACGATGTGTATACGATTTCCAGATGTACACAGCTGTAAAGGGGTTTAGAGGTAAACGTATCACTGACACATTAAATAATATTTTACATATAAGGTAAAATAAATGTTCTTTTTTTCTTATATTTTCTTATATTCATCTAATACTGTCGAAATAGGCCTCATGAGAACTGGAAGGGTACATTTTGCACCAAGGTCCCGTTCCACAAAACAATTTTAGCGCAAAGACGATCATAATCCCTAACTTTAAAATACGACAGTCGAAGCGCTACGATCGCTTTGTGGTGGCCCTGGCTGAC